TATTCCTTTGATTATGGCAGCATTTGTGATTTTTTTTCAATGAAAAACAAACTAGTAAATCATTGTTTACATCAGTTCTTCAAAGCAACTGTCTGATATAACCAGATGAGCAAGTCTTTAAGCTTTTTTACCTTGTAGAACTGTTTTCTAGCTGATGGATTCTTCAGGAGAGACTGGACCAGGGTTTGAAAGTTGCGTTTTGCTTCCTCCACCTTTTGATCCTTCTTCTGAGGGCAAAATAAAACAAAGCACTTGCTAACAGACATAATTTTATAATATAGTAGAATCATTACAACTTCTAAAATCATTAAGAGACTAGACCCGTCACAATAATCATTGCAATAATCTGATGCAATATATATCGCACGCCCATACATAAAAACCAATTGTAGCAATATTTTAGCTGATTGCAAAACATCTCTCTCTATCAGATGTGTCAGTGTCTGTATGGGTAAAAAACACTATAGTATTTAATATATATTACAATAGTATATTTTCATGTGGATGCCTGACGACTGAAAATAGATCTGGTAGCAGATATCAAAGCCTGTTACTTTTTTATCTTGCACTTTTTTTGTTAACGTTTATAATTTACCCAGTAAATTTTTGTAATTTGTCAGTAACTGTTACAGTTCATATGGACCACTTTTCTTCTCTCTCCAGATCATAACATGTAGGTGTGACTAAAATTGTTGCCTTGTTTTGTGTAGTTTGCAAAACATGTGCTTAATTGTGTGTTATAAGTTGTAATCGCCCTGATTGGCTTGTAGTCACGGATTGATTATAGATCAGGGCTTGTACTGTATCTCTCAGGGTAAATCTGTAAGGGGCTGTTAAAAACGTGACGCCTGCTTTTTCTTTTACCGATTTAAATGCGTTTCTGATCTTTTGATCCTCTGCTGTTTGTTGCTATGGCCACCACCAGCTGTTCCTCAAATGCGGCACGGTCAGTTTTCAAAATAGTTCAACTTGTGCCACTGTGTGGATTTATATTGAATGAGTGTCATTGTTGTTTCTTGGTGTTAGGGTTAGGAGTGGAGTGATATGCTGGTGTTTAACTGCATTGCTTTATTGCGTTCCTGCATTGGGCTCTCACATACTTTGCGCCACATACTGTAGCTGTGGTGGGCATTTCTCTCTGTCTCGTGCTGAACGCAGTTGACCAATCGCAACAGACTGGGTCATCGGACCGCGCTAAGGAGGGGTTTGGGAACAAATGAATCACTGAACGAATCATATAGGAGTCGCTGAGATAATTAGGTCAAAATAAATGCATATTATAAGACAATGAAAGTGTTTTTTGACCTTGCACACATATCAGCATGTTGTCAGAGAAATTATGACCTTTTTAATGCAAAATAGGGGCTCTTTGAAATGAAAATAATTTTGTTTATTGCAATATATTTTGGTGCAATATGTTGTACAAGAAATAAATATCGTGACAGACCTAGAAGAGACTGGATAAAGTAATATGAAAAAGTGGGAGGTAAAAAAAGAGGTTTGAATATATTGCTATTTCAGCTTCTCTAGCTGTTTCAAGGCAAAAAAAAAAAAAAAAAAACTGACAGTTTCATAAAAAGCATTTTCCATAACAAAAGGGTTTCCAACAATAAACAGACACTAAATAATACATAAATTAAGACAAACATCTAAAACTTGATAATTCTAAAATTTATGAAGTATTCGCATCTAAAAACAATTCCTTTAAAGACTCCTTCTAGATAAAATCCTTGTCTAAGAACACTAGAAATAGGGCATTTCAAAAGTATGTGCTTGACAGTTAAGGTTACTATAACAATGTTAACATTTTGGTGCAACTACTCCCTTGAGCAGACAAACAAACAACCAAGTTATAAGAATCGCCATTATTGTGCGGTCCAAACTGACCTTTCCATTGGGAATGCAGGAGGACATCTGCAGCTTCTTCAATTCCTGAAGGACAAGCTCCGCATCTGGAGGATCCGGCTGACGAAGCTCCTCCAAGATCATCTGCAAATTTTGAAAAATACCACATGACTGAGAGCGACACAAACGATGACATTACTACCAAAAAAAGGACATGTTGTTGATGAATCCTGGAATATTCTCAATACGTTGTGTGATGCAGTGATTTTCAGTATTCTTACCAGGGCCCTCAAACCCATAGTCAGCCTGGCCTGATGTCTGTAATCGAGCAGTCCAGGTACAGTCTCACAGAGCGATGTTATAGTTTCCTCCACCTTCCCATAATGCACTGTGTCTCTCTGCAACATCACCTTCCACATGGCCGCAGACAAGAGCCGCAGTGGTGGAGCGATAAGCTGCAGGGCTGACATGGGTAGAGGTTGATCTGTTGTGGGAGGAACTTGAAAAATTAACACAAAGACACTGTACTTAATTAATCAATCTATCTATCTATCTATCCATCCATCTATCTGTCTGTCCATCTACCTAGCTATATGTTCATCTATCCGTCTATCTATCTATCTATCTGTCTGTCTGTCTGTCATCTACCTATCTTTCTGTTCATCTATCCATCTGTCTATCTATCTATCCATCCATCCATCTATCTATCTGTTCATCTATCAGTCCATACATCCATCCGTCGATCTATCTATCTGTTTGTCTATCCGTCTATCCATTCATCCGTCTATCTGTTCATCCATCCCTCTGTCTATCAATCTATCTATTCATCTATCCGTCCATCTATCTATCTATTCATCCATCTATCCATCCGTCCATCTATCTATCTATTTATCTGTCTATCTATCTATTCATTTATCCATCCATCCATCAATCAGTCTATCTATCTATCTTACAAAAGTGATTTCAAATGATAACTCAAGTGTGAAAAAACTTTAAATCTTGTCCCCTCATCATGCATTCAAATGGCATGTGTCATTAAAATGACCTTTTAGAACTAAAAAAAACTTCCAGCTCTCATACATTTAAAGAGATTTACAGATTATAAACATGAAAACGTAAATTAATATAGCAAATAGTTAAAATAAAGTTCATTCAGTTAATTAGTACTTTATATATTTTAATAGGTACATCAGAACATTCTCTAATAAAAAATGTGTTTACATTTTTACAACACATTTGAAAACATTCGAGTATAATCCTGCATTTAACACACTGTGCCTAAAAATCATTTTTAAATCAAGTTCATTTTAAACACCTAAATTTCACGTCTCTGATCCATGCTAGATCAATAGTGTGTAAGTTATATAGGAAGTTAAATTGATCCGATTTAACCCGATATGTTTCGAGTTCTGACATGACTTAAGAGGAAATCCTCAGTGCTGTTGACGCATCAGCTGACCGCGCATATAAAACGACGCTAAATGAACAGAAATGAAATCGTTTTTACATAACCAAGAAACCCACCTTTCTCCAGAGATCTAGTCGCTGTTTTTGTTTTCCTGTTCATCCTGAAAACAAACAACTGTGTTCCTTTATAGGTCGCTCACTTGATTCACAAACAAAAAAAAACTATACAGTTCAAACTAAAAGTCATCTACGACATATAAAGGATTAAGAGTATCTGCATAACACGATGCGATAACGGCGATGCTTTATAAAGTATGATCTTGATTTACATACTATAAACAAACTGTTTACAAAAACCGATGATTTCGTTAGGAAACGGTGTTGGTCACGGCAATGAATACACTTCTCGCGCCAAAATGACGAAATGCGGTTTCCGGTGAGAAAGACGCAAGGGCTTTTTAATACATGTTTAGCTATCTGAAGTGTGGGCACAAATTTTGCAAAGGCAGTAATGTATTAATTAAATAAAATTAGAGTTACTGATGTTATGCCACAATTTGTTGTTTTTAAATAAGAGCTTTGCCAAAAACGTAAAGATAGGCTATTTTTGTTTTGGTGTGACGTGCAACTGAGGAAGTTGTTTGGTTTTCAAAATAAAAGTCTTTAATGAACAAAAAACTAAATATGCAGAAAAAAATCCTTAAAACTATTGTGATTATATTCCAGTTTGTAATGTAAAGCGGAGTAAGAGGGCGATTTGGTCAAATTAAAGAGATTAAAAATAACATTATTTTTTATTGTTAATGATATAAATTAAAAACAGGATAGTTTAACAATTTAGTCATATAAAAGTAAAATAATAATAATAATAACCGACTAATTACACTACAAATCTATTTCCACAATTAATGTTTTTTTTGAGTATGTAATAAAAATGTTTTTATAAAATAGTCATGTAAAAGTCAATAAATAAATTTTAATAAGTATACCTTATTAACAACAACAACAACAACAATAATAATAATAAACAATACCTATAGTTTAAATAATTAAACATATAAAATCTAATTTAATCTTCTCTTTATGCAATGGTAAATGTGCATCAAACTAATCAGTTATTAAATACATTATTTATATAGGGATATGTTGTAGGTTTCAAAACTATTAGATTAAAATATTATTATAGTTTTTGATAATTATAATTAGCAATAGATAATGTATTCACTTTCAAAACTACCCGGCACACAAGGATAGTTCACTCAAAAATAAAAACGTCCTCACCTAAAACACCGCTGAATGATTGAGGAGTGCATTAATACCACAAAACGATGAGAGTTCACTTGATTAAAAGACTACATCACCCTCATGTCCATTTAAAGGGACAGTCCACATAAAAACTAAAATGTTTTCATTTATTCAAACTCAAGCGGTTCTAAACATTTGAGTTTCTTTCTTCTGTTGAACACAAAACAAGTTAGAATGTTTGGGGAAAGAGCAGCCATTGACATTCATAGTAGAAACTGAAAAACCCCATGAAAGTCACTGGTTACTGTTTGTTTTCTAACATTCTTCAGTATACCTTCTTTTGAGTTGGAACAAGTGGGAGATAGACTAAATGATGGCATAATTCTAATTTGGGTGAACTATCCCTTTACATCATGTACACCCTGCCTCCTTAAAAACACATGTACAATCAAAGAGACCTTGCCCAATGACACAGTGTCAGACGAAATCATCAAGCAAAGTCCACTTGGCTAGAGTCACAGAGCACATTACTCTCTAAAAGAGACTCTCCAACAGCTCAGACGCAGTATCACATATATATTCACTTCAAATAGAGAAGCAGGAGGACTGTAAACAAACGGAGGTGGAAAAAAAACAGAGGATCGAGCACCAAAATGGAAACAACATCCTCACTGTTCAAGTAGGTTTAGTAATATTGATTTTTTGTGGTGTAACACCAAACAGTAACACTTTACAATAAGTTCGTATCAGTTGATGTATTTACTAGCATGAACAAACAATGGAAAATACATTTATTGCAGTGTTTCTTCATCTTTGATAATGTTAGCTAATGATAAATAAAGTTGTTCATTGTTAGCTCATGTTAACATGCTTAATAATATACATGTTTTGTTCATTCCTAGTCCATTTTAGTACATCAGCTAACATTAACTAATGAAAACTTATTGTAAAGTGCGACTCGATAAAATCAGCAGAAGTTTACTTTAAGAAGGAAGCATATGTTCACATATCAAAAGTTGACTTGAGCAAAGTGTTTATTGAACAGTAATAATACTTGTTGACATGGAGTTGAAACTTATTCTCACAGATTGACCTTTAACTGTTGGTCTCTCACAATACATTTGTTTTACTCCATTAACAGCTCTTTAGATAAGACAGAGAGTCTGATTACAGCCTTGTGCTCTCTGTGCTTGTCCTAATTTAAAAGCAGTGATCGACTATAAAAGGAAAAATTACAATTCGTCACCTTAGAATGATAAGGCTCTATCTGGCATTTTTGTCAAAATTGAGTTACTGTCATATCTTTAATAAATGACATCTTATTTACATTATGAGATGTTTTTCTTTAAGTTGTTTCCATTTTAAGACTTTTTATTTAAAAAAAACAAATGTTACACACATACTGTTCGCAAAACCTTGAAGCTCAATATCTAAAAATCATTCAGAACGCAGACAGAACCTTATAACTCTAAGGTGACAAGTTATGGAAATTTTTTTTTTGCACCAACGAAAAAAAATGAGGATTATACAGGACTGTATATTGGTCAATCTTATTCGTGTAGTGTGAATGTAAAGAATGTGGACACTATCCACCCAATAACTTGATAAATGCTTTGTGTTATAAACAAAAATATAAGCCATGTTATTTGGATATTTTAGTAATAATCTTTACTTTCAGTAAGTCAGTGATTCACTTAAACATGAGACGCAGATCAGTCTGAATTGTCAGTAAATAATCAGACAAGGTTTTATTTTAAACAGGATAATTCAATCATCAAATAAAGTGAACAGTTCGTTCATGGATCAGACATCTCCAATTTTCTAATAAATAAAAAATAAAAGCCAGGGAACATCTAAAGAGGATGTCAAGATTTTTAGTGAATAGCAAATTTAAGTACTTTAATTTTTGGTAAGCCATCAAAATATATATCAATCATATTAACCAATACAGACAGAACATACTGTACTTATGGAGGGAAAATGTCATATAAAGCAAATTAAGATCATTCTCAAAATCAAGGAAAAAAAATCATTATTTGTGCATCATGAAATGAGCAATATTCGTTATTTGTTAACATTTCTTCAGATGATGAACTTTGAATAAAAAGAAATTTAGCCCAGAAATGAAAATAATCATTATTTGCTCATCCTAAAATGACCAATTATTATTTGCCAACTTTTTCTTTCGGCTGATGAACTTTAAAGAAAAAGTGAGAATGAAGATAACTAATGTTGCCTACTAATTTTCAGAGGAAGTTGCTTAAGATGTTGTGATATCATCGTGTGATGATTGATGTCATTCTGTAACCATGACAAAAAACTTTGTCATTACACAAAATAAACTATGTTACACTTAAACTGACGGCCCATTTTTGTAAGTAATGACATTTGAAACATGCTACTTTCTATTTGTTTGTAAAAGTAATGAAAACACAACATTGGTTTTAGTTATATTACGATATTGAAAAAATAAAACACTGAGTCATTGGAAAAATGACATTGTATGCCTTTTTATTAAAGAGTGAAAATGATCATTTACTCACCAGTGACTTCTTTCAAACCAGCTTGAGCTTTTTACCTGCAGTTGTTGTTCTGTTGAACACAAAAGAAAATATTCTGAAGAAAGCTGAAAACCGGTAAACACTGACTTCCATGGCATTTGTTTTTTTCACTATGGAAGTTAATAGTTACCTTTAATTTTTCAGTATATCTTCCTTTGCGTTAAATAAAACCCTTTTGGGTGAACTATTCCTTAAACTATAAAGTAAAACTCCACATTATAAACTGCTTTAGATTTAACTGTGGATTCGAAATCTATCATTATTATACACTCTCAAGAAAACAAATCTGTAAAAATAGGACACAATTGGAACTTAGTTGGAACGTTCTATATTATTCCCACCGGGAGTTTATTTGTATTTATATTTCTGCATTTTGTTGTGTTTTCCTATTATCTTTAATTATCTTTCATCTTTATCCTTCAATCTTAAAGGAACCTTCCCTTATTGGTACCATTTAAAGCATTTAAAAAACTGTATAATGTACCTGACTGATCAACAATTGCTGATACTAACTAGTAACAAGGTGTAACATACATAGCCTACAATTATTACCAAACAGCTCCTATGATGCATTGCTAGTCCACTCTCTCCAGGCTGAAGTGCTAAAAAGCTCACCAAAAGTCTCCTTTTTTGTGGGTTAGGGGGAAAATGTAGCTAAACTCTGGACAATGCTCATCTAGGATTTTTACAGTCCTGCTTTATTTACTTTGACATTTTGGTCTCCTCTTCCATTTCTCAGGTCAGTGTCTCGGCGGGTTTGGTCGCCTCCGCAGCGTCCATTCAGAGTGTGTTCCTGGAACAGAGAGGTCAAAAAAGGCATCACTGCGGGAACCCTGGAGGAGCTCAAAGAGAGGGTATGACAATGAATCAAAACAGGCAAGCTTTGTTTAGTTTATCTTGCCTGCTAAGTTTTGCAGTGGTTCTATCAGTGTTACACATTTCTAGATATTCTACAATGACCTGAATAACTAAAAAACATCATGAAGAGTTCAATAATTATGATGTAAATGTGTGGCATGTTTGACAGAATACTGTAACTCTTACCTCAGGCAGGCCAGGCTCTGCTGATTTCTAAAATGCTGACCCTGGTGTGTGAGGAGGACGGGACAGAGGTGGACTCAGATGAGTTCCTCATAGCTCTGCCGGACAACACTGTTTTCATGTGTCTGCAACCTGAAGAGATCTGGAAGCCTCATCCGGTATGTGTGTGTATGTGCATTTGTGTTGGGGATAACAACAAAAGTAATTACTTAATAGAAAGACTTGTTAGAGTTTAATCTTCACTTTAGTGAAGATGTTGAAGAGTTTCATGTAATGCTTTGAGTTTTGCAGAAGCACCCATGCTTTGGGTGTTGGCAGCTTAATTAGCAAAAATACAGTTTGTTGCTTTGCTCAGTGAGCAATAACGGTCCTAAAATTAGTTCTGAGATCATTCTAAGCCATTTTAAGCATGTATATATATATATATATATATATATATATATATATATATATATATATATATATATATATACACACACACACACACACACACACACATATACATATATACACACATATATATATATATTTATTCATGCTAAAAATGGCTCTTTTAGTTCATTTAGGATAACTTTAAATAAAACTGAGAGACTTCGAAATTTACGACACATAATAGACATACATGATATTATCAGACCTTTGAGTAAAGTTAAATAAAAATACAAATGTATTTAAACTTTTATTTGATAAAATCATGTTGGCCCAACTCAATTGCAGTTAACTGTGTGAACAGTTTTTTTTTTAGTTGGTGCTACACAAAATTATTGGATGAAATTCCTGCCCTCAGTTTAATTGAGTTCATCCAATATTAGTTATATTTTGAGTGTAGTCACAAATATTAGTCAAAGAACTCTGCCAAATATATTTTAAAGGCTTACATTTTATTTTCAAGGTTGCTTGTTGCAGTGTTACTATTCATTTTACTACTGACTAATATTAAAGAATGCAGATTATTTGCATGTAATTATGCACAATCTTTTGTGGTTACTATAGTATGTACAGTACATAAAATGTGACAGGGAAACCTTCAAGTGTTAATGGTTTTAATGGTTGTGAAAAATTTCCATGGTTAATATATAAATAAAAAAAATACCTGTAAGTAAGAGTTAAGATTAAGATTACGTAAGGTTATTTTTAGTTTTTTTTTGTTTTTATTAACAGCCTGCTACAGTCTGGGGACATTATTTTGTTCAGTGTCTTACGGTTAGAAAAAATAAAAAATAATGATAAGGTTTTGTGTAGGTTGTTTAAAAAAATATCCACGCTGCAACATTGTGGAAACCATATTATATCGGAAAAAAAATACAACCAAGATGAAGTGTTCTTCATTTCTTTAAATTATATAGCCTTTTCACAAGTGAGGTTTCAAATAATGATGATGTATCACCACATATAATTCTTCTTTTTATAATATATAGTTTTTTTTTTTAATCTTTGTAAAGATTACAAAAAACAAACAAACAAAAAAAAAACCTAAACTCTTATGCAAGGTGTTTCTAATGAGTGACCTGAACAACCAATTTGGTATTGTTCACTCTTCTGGCTGCCATTATTACATTCTATTTTTCCTTTTTTAAAGGTCATGAAAACATAAAGTGCAGTTTTTCTTTTGTAATTTGAGTAAATTGTAATGCAAAACATTTATCTGTGTAACTCTACCATTCACTGCTCTCTGAGGTTACTCAACTAAGACAGCATGCTGAAAAACCAAGAAATGTGAAATGTGTAGGTTACTTTTAAAATAAGCACCCTACACTACCTAATAAAAGTCTTGTCATCCATCCCAGCTGTAAGAGCAACAAATAATAACTTGAGTTCAAGATGATCATTTGGAAATGTTGCAGAAGGTAAATTTTTTCAGATAATTCATCTATTGAACTGCATCCCAATCAACACAAATACTGCCGAAGACCTACCGGAACCAACATGTACCCAAGATTCTCACAAAAATCAGTCCCGTTTGGTGAAGCAAAAATCATGGTTTGATTTCCGAAAGATCGGTAGAGTGGATGACAACAATCAACAGACATTTTTGCTGCCCATTACATCACATTACATGAAAGATCCTGACAGCAAAAAAGGTCATGGTGCTCCAGGATTGACCAGCCCAGTCACCAGAAATAAACATTATTGAGCATGTCTGGGGTAAGATGAAGGAGGCATTGCAGATAAATCCAAAGAATCTTAATGAGCTCTGGCAGCCCTGCAAGAATGCTTTCTTTGCCATTCCAGATGACTTCATTAATTTGTTATTTGAGTTATTTCTGTAAGTATGGATGCAGTACTCCAAGCTCATGGAAGTCATTCGTTTCCATTGCACCATATTCTATACTGTACATTATTTCTGTTAAGTGACAAGACTTTTGTCTAAGTAAAGTCAGATCTTACAGTCCTAATGAAATAATTAAAAATCAAGGCTTGATCATATTTCATTTTGCTTAAATAAGTGTAATCTAGAGGCCTTTGCCTTTCACATAAGCCACTTCTGATACCAAATGATCAACTAGAAGTCAAGCTATTATTTGTTGTTCCTAAAACTTGAATAGGCCACAAGACTTTTGTCAGGTAGTGTAAAATGTTCTAAGAACATTATTTCATGGTTGCAAAATAACAAGGGAACATTCTGAGAACATGGATACAATCTAACTTTATTTTAGGAGTCCCTGCTCATTGACCTTTCCTGATCCCTTCCTTCATCTCTCTCAAACCTTCCTTTCCTGCATAATAAAGGCACATAATGTCAACAACAATCTTGAAATTCCCAGTTAACAAGCTGAATGCTTTCTGGAAGCTGGAATTTTATAATAACAGTAATGAGATGAGATGATATGAATGCAGATGTGCTAAAGCTGTTTCACCATTGATATTTGTATATGCTTTGATATATTTATAACTTCCTCTTCTCCTAGTTGCACCAAAGGGGTGGAAACAAACCAGGCGATAGTAAACCGAGGACAGGAAAAGACATCGCTCAGATCACCTTTGACCTCTACCGTACGCATCCCAAAGACGTGTTTGGCTCGCTGAACGTTAAAGCCACATACCAGGGGCTTTACTCTGTCAGTGCAGATTTTCAATGCTTGGGGCCAAAGAAGTTCCTGAGGTAAGCTGGGTTGCCCTTCTAGATTACAGATGGAGATGAAATAACCATTATAAAGACTTTGAACTGTACTTTACCCTTCTGTTGTCCATCAGGGAGGCTCTCAAAATGATGTCCACTCTCCTTCACGCTGCTGGTCACTTGCTGATCTCATCTGCTGCTGTGATTCGCCGGATTATCCAAGGGGCGGACATGCTTCAAGCCCAGAATAACAAACAAATTAAGTATTGGGAGTAATGAGAAATGTATCATTAAGAAAACATGTAACTGAGATTAAGAATGTGTGAAAGAGATGTTTTTTCTGAGATGCAAGGATACAGATTTATATGGTAATGCTAAAGTTTAATTTAGCACAATTGAACATCAGTTTTGCATCATTTATGGTATGGAAATGTTCAATGGTATATGATGGTGATAATTGTTTTTAAATGAAGTACAAAAAAACATGTAATAATAAAAAAATACATTAGGTTTGTTTTGTACTTCATTAAAAACTCCATACTAGAGTGTCACGCGATCCTTCAAAAATCATTCTAGTATGCTGATTTGGTGCTCAAAAAACTTTTGCTAAACCAAAAATATGATTGTTTTTGTATTTAATTGAGTAATAAATATTAGTGTTTTTAGAAACTCCAGACTTTTGAAGAGTGGAATACATTGATAATATATATTTTAATAGTAATATTTTTATGAATTAATGCTAATCTAGTTTGATAATTGTGATAGCAAATAGTCTTAGTAATGTTACTTAATTAAGAAAGCTGATGAACTTCATTGAAAATAAGCTGCTCTATGAATTTTTTCATACATACATATATATATACATACATATATACATATATATATACATATATATTTATATATATATATATATATATATATATATATATATATATATATATATATATATATATATATATATATATATATATATACACTGTAAAACCCAACAAGTTAAGGCAACTCAAACCGTTTGAGAAAACCGATTGCAACAAACCATTTAAGTTAAAAAAAACTAATCTATACAAGTACTGTGAACTTACTCCGTTTAAGTTAAAGTAATGAGGTATTTAGTTAACTCATTACGTTTAACACTGAGTTCAAAACTCTTTTCAAATGAGTAGAATTAACCTTCAGTAAACTGAGTTAACTAGACTCATTTCATTTGATAAAGTTGACTGTTTACAGTAAATACACACACACACACACACACACACACACACACACACACACACATATATATATATACACATACACACACACACAACAGTTCTGTCTGGCTCTTGAATCTGATTTAAATCTAAAGTTTAAAAGATGCTTGCTCAACTGTTTAACTGTCAGCTTATGATTTGAATCCAAGGCGGAAGAAAGTAGTTCTTCACACAAAAGGGTTTTTGAGACTCTCCATGTTTGATTTTGTTTTTATATACACATTTATGCTAATTATGCAATATCACACTCGTAGCAATGCAATATAGCTGTATATCGGCAATGGTGGAGGCACTAAGAACGCCTCCCACCAGTCCCAATATACAGCCATATTGCACTGCTACTCGTGTGACATTCCTCATATATATATATATATATATATATATATATATATATATATATATATATATATATATATAAATTTTTCCAAGTCAATTTTTTTTAAATTACTTGCCATACTGCATTTGGAGACTTTATACTTTTGCGTCAAACGCACAGGTGTGGTCTGGCACAGCCTTTGTATGGTCGTATACCTGCGCCCCTTTTAAAAAAAATTTAGCTACACATTGGACGCGTGGAAGCTACGCCAGAAAGCCTTGAGACAGCATATTTTCAATTAAAATAAAATTATTATTTACATTAAAATGTATTATTTACCTTAAAGTACATAACATGTTTACATAAGATTCAATACATATATTTTAATTTATATTTTTTTTATTCAATAAAAGATTAAATAAATTAATAAAATGATGGTTCATTAATCTAAATCAAATTAAAATGTTCAGTTAATCAAGATTTTGATTTTAGGCCAAATCGCCCAGTCTTATACATATATCTAGGACTACTCAGTGTTACTTACTTATGGTGTCTTTATAGATGTACATTAACTTTTTGATTTCAATATGTTTGTCATGTGATATACTACTGTGTATTTCTTATTTGTAAGTCGCTTCCGAAGAAAGTGTCAGCTAAAGGATGAATATAAAAATGTTTTGCCATAACAGTGAATGTTTATCAATAAAATTAAACGTATATAAAGATGTTTTAGAATCAATTTATTAAGTAAAACCAAACTGGTACAAAAAGCTTCAGCACAAAAAAAGGACAGTCTCTCTAGTCAGCTCACTCAATGCATAGACTAAAATTTATATTGAAACTACTTAATGTTAATTAGTCTTCAAATAATAATAAAAAAAGATCACATATTATAATTGGGGGAATAGAAACCAAGCGCATAAATTAAGTAGTATTATGTCAGCTCACTGTTGCCATCACAGAAACAAATCTGCGCAGCACACAGTGGATCTAAAAGATTGCTGTTATGTTATAACCTTAAATACAACTGAACTTTGTAAAAGCAAACATCTAGATATCTAAGCCCGAAGTGTAACTCAAACATTAAAATGGCAACACACATGCATTCGCTCTGTCGAGTCAAACCGTGAACCACAACGAAGAGACCTCCGATCGAACAAGCTACAAAACAGAATACGTTATACAGTAATTCAGTGCCTTGCCATACATAATTTAGGTTTCGATTACTTTTAAGGTACATATTCTATTACTAAATATTTTGTTTTGATTCAAGTAAGATGCTTAGTTTTGGAGATACATATTGCATAACAATGTTGTGAGAGAGAGGTTCTACAAGGCCCTGGATCATAGCATTACATTGGGATGGAAATATCCATACAGGTTAAAAGGTGGTCAAATAAAAGAGGGGTTTTGTAACATCTTTGGCAGTGATGTGGAATTCGCTTTCCACCAATCTGCACAGCTACAAATGCCATCGAAAGCAGATTTCACTTCTTAGGTCAAAGTTCACCCTCATGCTCAATTGGGGCACTTTCATTATAAAATTCGTTCCATGTTGCTGGTCCGCTCGTGCTGCTGCCGTTAATTAACGCAGAATCACCCACACTCAAGCCGGAGCTCAAGTTCTCAAAGGAGATTCTTCCTCGCGAGTATTTCCCGCCTCTTTTCTGCTGTTGCGTTATGGCGGCGATGATGCGCTCCCTCTCCTGTGAGGTCATCCAGCGCATCTGATTGTGTTTAACGTGGTAACGTGTGTCTCCGTACCACTGGATGATCTCTGTCCTCGTCAGGCCTGTCTTCTTCTGCAGGATCTCGTAATCATCACTTGTGGGCCACTGGCAGCAAAGGAAACTCTGCCGCAACATTTCCAACTGTTCCCTCGTCTTCTTTCGGAGTCGCACGTTGGGTTCTACTAGCCCGCGGCGGAATGATGGGGAAGGAGAAGGTGAGGGTGAAACATCAACTGATAACGGTTTCGTGGAAGTGCTGCCGTCATCCATGTCGCCGCCTTCATCACTTACTTCATCCTTGGTCTCGTTTGATTGGTTGAGTGACCCCTCACCGTCGGCCACATCCACATCAACCTCAAACCCAGCCTCAGTGTCGTCAACTTCGTCATTATCATCAAAATCCACACTGGGTATATCATCAATGTCCTTTTGCATCAGTTGCAATGAGCGATTGTGCTTCGCGAGCTTGTTTAGCCAAGCTCTGCCATTCTTCCGAAGCTGATAGCGGCTGTCCGCGAACCATTTGCGGATTTCACGCCGACTGAGTCCAGTCATTTTCTGGAGCCGCTGAACCTCACCATCGCTGGGCCAGGATTTATTTACGAAACTGCGGCGCAGGGCCATTAGTTGCGCTTTGGATTTTTTCCCAGGCAAGCAGTGTAGTGACTGTGACAGCTCAGGGAGCTCAGGGTATGATAACGCAGATGGTTGCTCATTCGTCATCACATATGATGGACGTCCAAAAGTATCAATCAGCTGGACTCCAGTATTTTGTGTTGGTGCGTTTCTACTTTCACTTTGAAAGCCAGGGTTAACTTGAGGAACTTGGGGTGCGTGTCCCACACCATTTTTGTACACAACATTAGAAGGGAGAGAGTGCTGAACACCATTATTGGACTGGGAAGCATTATTCTGCCCGAAACGCAAGTGGGATTGGTCAGTGGTGATGTGATGAGGAACAGTCTGGCTGGGTTTAGGTATGTGTTCTCTCTGATCTGCATGGGTATTTGACACAGGTGGTGGAATAAAAGCCTGTTGCGCAGCTTGCGTTTTATCAACCGCTACACAATCCTCCTCATCATCGATTTCCACACACTCGTCACTTGTTGCTTTTTTCTGAATGTGCCACAGCTTGCGTCTCGTCTCCTGGATGTCATCATCAGCCCAGCTGATTCCGTAACGTACCCGTTGCATCATGAACCATGCTTTCACTTGGTCAGGCGGTAATGCACACTTTCGTGCTAGAGCACTCGCCTCCTGTGATGTGGGGTATGGAAATGAATTAAACGCTTCCACGAGTTCTGACACAGCATCCAGTTCATGAACCTGCTCAGAGCGCACCCAGATCAGCTTTAACCCCTCAGAGACCAATGGAAGACAGACCAGGTTGACCTGGTTGTGGGTCGATGTGCCGGAGGTTACCGTTGGCCTCTTCTGGACTCCTGAGGAGCAGGGTGACTTCTCCTGAGGTAATTCAGGGGATGAGCTCTGCGTTCCCTCAGGAGAAGGAGAGTCGTCCATCTTCTCTTCTTGTTCCCTAGCCTCTGTTGAGGACGATGTCTCATTTAAGTCATCAGGAGTCTGAAGTGAAGCAGATTCTGATCCCTCAGGGGTGATTGGCTGTAAAGAGTGAGATAAGGAAATATGAATACAAAATCTTGCGAAAAAGGGCTGTGCGATATGAGCATATATATATATATATATATATATATATATATATATATATATATATATATATATATAAGTATTTATACAACAGTTCTGTCTGGTTCTCAAATCTGATTGGCTGATAGCCGTGCGATATTCTGCAATATCAAAACTCCTACAGCCTCTTTACCCTTTGTGTATTACTCCGCCCACATACAGCCAGCAAAAAGCAGACACTACAAATCTAAAATTTAAAAGATGCTTGCACAACTGTTTTAACTGTCAGCTTATGATTTGAATCCAATGTGGAAGAAAGTAGTTCCACATACAAAAGGGTTTTTAAAACTTTCCGTGTTTAATTTTGTTTTTATATACACAATTATGCTGTCAAACTGTTGTATAAACGCAATATCTATATATATATATAAACGCAATATATATATATATATATATATATATATAAATAAAAGTACTATATGTCTAAATTCTGCATTTTATTTAACAATATTTTATGTTGGACCTGTAATCATACGTTGTATTAAGTGTATTAGATTTCAATAATATTTGTTTTAACATCTTTAATCAAACGTTTGCCCTGAAGTTCCAAATAAAGTTATAAAAAATAATCACATATAAATGTGTACAATTTTTAATTATATACAGTTGAAGTCAGATTTATTAGCCCCCCGGAATTATTAGCCCCCGGGTTTATTTTCCCCAATTCCTGTTTAATGGAGAGAAGATTTTTTCAACACATTTTTAAACATAATAGTTTTAATAAATCTTTTTTAATAACTGATTTATTTTATCTTTGCCATGATGACAGTAAATAATATTTGACTAGATATTTTTAAGACACTTCTAAACAGCTTTAAGTGACATTTAAAGGCTTAACTAGGTTAATTAGGTTAACTGGGCAGGTTAGGGTAATTAGGCAAGTTACTGTATAGCGATGATTTGTTCTGCAGACTATCGGGAAAGAAATAGCTTAAAGTGTCTAATAATACTGACCCTAAAACTTAAAAATAAATAAATAAATAAATAAAAACTGCTTTAATTCTAGGCACTAATAATTCTGACTTCAACTGTACTTTAAAATGTAAAAAGAAATAGTCATTTTCATGTCTAGACACACACAATATACATACAAAGGTGACAATAGTCAAAACTTTGTTCACACAGATCCATGAAAACTAATAAATTGCTCTGCAAAGTGACATGGCAATGTCACTTTGTAAAGGAGTAATATGATATTAGCCAGTGCATTTGGGATCTTGGGGGACTTTTTATGTAGATTACTCTATGCATATAACTCTGGGTTTGCTGTCAAAGCAACATGACAAAACATTTTAACCTACTCAGAAGCAGGCTTACTTCACAAAAACAGAATTAGATTGCATCATTTTAAGTAAAGGTGTGACCCAGCAACTTCTGTTTTCTCACAGGGGTGTGTTGAAAATAGTTCATTTGTGTTCTTAGGTCAAGGGTATTTTTTGTGAAGAAACTATTCTGTATAGGAAATAGGGTTGGGCGATGTCGATTAATTTGGCATTGTACGATGTGTAATGTAAAACATCGTGATGTACAATGGCATCGTCGTCATAGGCAGTGGTGAATTAATTATTTACGAATAAATAATTCATAACATATTAATTATTTGTACCCTACCGTATCAACTACCTGACCTGCATGCTCTTTGTTTTACCCATAACCAAATAATAAAACTAAATAAAGATAAGTTACACCAAATTACCACCTGTCAGTCACTTTTTCAGTGGGACTCTTGCATGAATAGGCATAGTGATCTGTTTCGTTATAATGGCGTTCACAAATTTGGTTGGTAAAAAAAAAAGTGCACAACCAACAGTATCTGATTCTGAGGTAAGTACAAGTATGAAAGCGAAAAAGTACTGATGCTGTGACACGTTACCTGATAGATTCAAAATTAAGACTCGTTAGATTAATTAAATATCATGTTTAACAACTATAGTGAGGCACAATCCAGCAGTACATCCTTGATAAACTGTCCGACACGCACTGCTCTCTAGGGTTTTGTGCTCAGATGCTGCAGTGCATGACAGAGTGTGTGTGTGTGTGTGTGTATGTGTGTGTATGTGTGTGTATGTGTGTGTGTGTGTGTGTGTGTGTGTGTGTGTGTGTGTGTTTGTGGTAACATGAGGTGCGTTTTCAGAGGTATAGTATGGAAGAAGGGCTTTTCAGAAATGCTAGATGAAACGCCAGTGTTGCACGTGAATCATTTTCGTTCAAAAAAGCAATTTTAAAACTAAGATGTATTAGTGTTAAATAGGGCGTGTATATTTTTCGCAAGCGGGTTGCTGCTGCAAGGGAGTGTGGCTCAGCATCGTGATATCTATCGGCCATTGGTGATGAACAATGGCATAGTCTATCAACCCAACCCTAATAGCAAATACACTTTAAATTTAATACAGATAGATTTATTATTAATTTGCAAAATCATGTTATTATAGTTTAGAGATATTGAAGTAAGTAAAAAAAAAACTAAAACTGAATCCATCTGAATGTGTGTTTTGGCCGCCACAAAGTAATGTTATTAAGTAAAAATGAACTGCCATAATGCATTCAAGATTAAGCAGTCATGAAACTCACTCTTGCAAACAAGTAACAAACACAATAATGTGCTGACAAATCATTTATAATAAACACTGCACTATTCCCGAAAAAAAAATAAGGTAAAATTCAGAACAGATTAGATTCAGAATAGATTTTAAAGTATTATTACTGGTCTATAAATCACTAAATAGCCAAGGACCTCAATACATTACAGATATGCTCACTGAATACAAACCTAACAGATCACTCAGATCTTTAGGATCATATAAACTAGTAGTTCCAAGAGTTCAGTCTAAGCAGGGTGAATCTGCCTTCAGCCACTATGCTCCTCACTGCTGGAATCAGCTTCCAGAAATGATCAGATGTGCTCCAACATTAGGCACATTCAAATCAAGACTGAAAACACATCTGTTTAGCTGTGCCTTTACTGAATGAGCACTGTGCTGCGTCCGACAGATCGCACTATTATGTTTTTCGTTTTCTTTTTCATTCTTTTATAACCTATTTTAACTTATTTTAATTTGTTTTTAATAATTTTTATTGTCTGCATTTTATGTTCCTAAACTTGTCTTTTTTTATTCCTGTTTATGTAAAGCACTTTGAATTGCCACTGTGTATGAAATGTGCTATATAAATAAACTTGCCTTGCCTAAAATCAGTCAGATTTAGATTTTGGTCATGACTGTTTCCAAACAGGTTTTCCTAAACACTTCCCTACGAGCCATTGGCCAGCCAAATCCACAGCTCCGCCCCAAAAGCGCACTATTGGTTAAGCCAATGACGCTTTGTCATGGTGTTGACAACTTCATGTAGGCCTACAGTATGTTTTTATCACGTTTAAGTTGAAATATTAAGAGCTGTTTCTATACATTCACACGATAAATAACACATAACAAGCATCACTAACGATTCTTGAAAAGGCAGGATGTCAGGTTTATACATAAATACTGTTATTACAAACAAAACAAACCTCACCTTATTTCTCTTCCCCAAGTCACCGTTAACGCTCGGTGTGTCCGGACCCAACACGGTCTTGTGCGGTCGGGTAACGTTAACGTTAGGTCTCTCGCTCATCGCCGAACTACACAGGCTGGTGACCGGGTGGGCGGCGTGCAGGTGCTGGCTGAGGCATTTAACATCTTGAGCTTTATAACCACAAATCCTGCACTCGTAAGCGTCCTTAGCCGTCTCCACGGCATCTCCTCCGGGCTTTCCTGCCGGGTCTGGAGGTAAAGATCGCGAGCTAGCGCTCTCGAGCTGCGGGGCTGCGCATTGCTCCATGGCAACCTATGAACGACCGAGCCAAGACGCAATTCATACAAGCGAGCACTGAGGCTAAAGGCTAAATTTCTCCCACTGCCAAGTCAATGTGCAAGTCTTTCAGAAATGGACGAGTTTCATCTGGATAAAGTAAGTGTAGCAAAAGTCGACATGCAAAAAGTGAAGGCTGATTCCTAATTTATGGCCACCCTGCTGGTCTGAGTAACGTTACGTTACAGAACAAAGACTGGCTAGCCTGCGAGCTAACCGAAGAGCTTGTCGTGTGGGTTTCACACAAATGCATTAAAAAGTGGAAAACAGACAGCTCGAGTGCACAGCGGATTGATTTATTGTTTTTCTTTCTTTCAGGAATTAAAGTTGTTAGAAAAATAATGCAGGTGAAAGCGTCATTCCCTGCAACTCGCACTCGCCATCGGGTCGCACAGTTTACCCAGAAAGCTGTCACAGGTTCGGTCTGTCGCATCCTCCGAATGTGAATCCAGAGCAGCTTCAAAATAAAAGTCCATCGAGAGGCGCGTTTCTCTCTCTTTTTCTGCTTCAAGAAGCTCGCTTTACATTACCAAAACATTAGTAACAATATAAAACATATTTACAGTCACATTTATATAATCCAAAACATTAAACATATATATAATTTAGTTTATATTTGGTTATTTTGTCATTTGTAAAAATCTAGGCTTCAATAACTTCTTTTTCCTAATAAACCGTTTAAGTAAAACATTTGTTTAAATGTACCACAAAATATTGGCTATATTTACTGAGAAAACAAATGGATGGATTCAAATATTCATTTTCAATATGTAAGCAATAATGGTTTTAAATCAATGGACAAAATGTTTATTTATTTTCATTTGGCTTAGTTCATCAGGACGATCACAGTGGAATGAACTGTCAACTTATCTAGTACATGCTTTATCCAGCGGATGCCCTTTCAACTTAGCAACCTAGTACTGGGAAACACCCATACACACTCATTCACAACGGCCATCCGGAGAAAATCCACGCGAACACGGGGAGAACATGCAAACTACACACAGAAATGTCAACTGACCCAAATGAGACTCCAACCAATTATCTTCTTGCTGTGAGATGACAGTGTAAAACACCAGGGGTGGATTTAGTGATTTTGGGGCCCTAAGCAATTCCAGCCATGGGGCCCAAAAGTTCTAAAACGCACCTTGTGTACTTTTTAAAAAAAAATTTTTGTAGTGTTTTTCTTAAATCATTCAATCTCCTTTTCTACTTTTTATCTTAATGCAAAATAATAATAACATGTAAAACATCTTGTTTTTTAAAAAATGAATTCACAACTAAAAATAATAAATTAAACATTTTATTTTTAAAACTAAATCTTTACTGATTTGACTGCTGGACTGGTCCGTGATTGAAGGTGGGGGACAAATCTGTGCAGTTAATTAAAATGTTAGACCCTCACCATACAAAATATGATAGAAAACAATACTATATGTATAATTTATAGACCACTTTGAGGGATGTAAACCATAACAATGGTCCTGACTTATTTCCTGTTTAACTTTTTTAATTTCTATAGCTTCAGAGAATCCAAAATGGACCACATATTTATAAATAATGTTATGATAGCCGTTTTAACATTAATATATTAATTGCTTCTTGTTGCAGTTATAAAATAGTTTAACAACAAGCAGGAAATGTTCATAGGCCAATGACATTGCCACATTAAAATGGTCTCTAGGTATTTATTTGAAGGCTCTCAGATTCCCTGGGGCCCTAAGCGGTCGCTTACCTTGCTTATTAGTTAAATCCACCCCTGTTAACCACTGAGCCATTGTGTCCCCCTGGGTAAAACATAGGATGACAAAATATAAAAATATTCAAATGGAAGTTAATACATATAATAAATGCTATTTAATACATAATATCCTTGTTATTACGCATACATTTTTCTAATTGTTTCTATAACGGTGCTGTTTTAGCATTTAAAGTAATGATTGTCTCTTTTTTGCTTTAGAAGCAAATTAAATTATTAAAGTAAATTTTAATGCAAATGGACTTGATAAAGAGCTGCTATAAGTCATATTTAACATATTTTTATTTCATGTTGTCAATAATATACTCATAAAGTCATAAGGAAGGGTGGATCAAGCAGAAATGTCTGTATATCAGAACTACGTGCTGTTCATCAAGTAGTAAAAGAATAAAGGTCACAAAATTAGCCATCATAAACATCTGTATCCTAGCAAATATCATTGCGTTAGTTATAAGTTAACATGTCTTATACAGTAAAACGATACCAAAGGTCATCCGGTATATATATATAAACAAAAGAGTTTTACCTAACAGGCTCATTGTGAGTAAAGAGAGAGAGAAAGAAAGAGTACATTTGTAACCATTACAAAATCAATCTGAATTTTAACATCAGCAGCAATGTTGGCCACTCCAGAATTTCCCAAGGAAGCTTTATTTGTGAGCTGTGATTTATGTGTGGAGGTGAAAACCCCGGCGCTGAAGACCTGCCTGAAGTGTGAAGTCTCGATGTGTGCTCAGCATCTGCAGACACACCTGATCACTCCAGTTCTTCTGCAGACCCATGCACTGACCAGCCCGGTGCAAGCAGGTTCCACTGGTCAATTGGCCAGCAAGTGCTCAGCTCACGGTAAGCTGGTGGAATACTACTGCCTGGATGACCATGTGCTGGTGTGCATGTCTTGCGCCATCGAGAAAGGACATCGGTTGCATAACATGAAGACGCTACCGACTGCTCATTTGGAGCTTGTGGATAAACTAAACGAGGAGATGAAGAAACTGCAACAGAGGAAGAAGCAGGCGAAGGAGCTGGAAATGTGGCATAAAAACCAAACACAGGCTCTGGAGAGCTGCTTCCATCAACTGATGGAGACTGAATCATCCCTTAAGGATTTGGTTTTCAAACGTTTACAGACCTCAGTTTCAGCCAGACTCAGGGCTCTTCAGACGGCTGTCGTAGCTGTAAGTTCGGCTCTGAAGGAAAAGGATAATTTCAACTTCTTGCAGAAATTTGCAAGTGTACACAAAGCTATAATGGATGCTCGCAAAGTGGATTTGAAAAAGGGCTTGGAGTCAGAACCTGACTGCATGAAATCAATCAAAGAAATCAGAATGAACATGCAACATATTGAGAAGCAGGTGCAGGAACTCCAGAGAAAGTTTCTTGCTTTTGTCGACCCTGATTGTCATCCATTTGCAGAGAATGAACCAAATGCAGTCTCAGAGCTGACCTTTGACCCTCAGACTTTAGGCCCTGGGATGACTCTGTCTAACGATCTTAGAACATTGTTCTACAACTCATCTGGCATCTACAACTCACCAGCCCCATTAAAAAGTACTGTTCGCTGCCAGCAAACAAATAAAACAGGCAGCCTGCGCTGGTTTCTCAATCTTTCTGAACATTTTGATTGGACCATTGGCCTTTGTGACACCAACGCCAGAGATGGGAACTATGTAAATGTATATGGACTGAAAAAAGAGAATAGTCGTCTCTTACTTTTACAAGAAGAAGGTGTGAGGGAAAACTATTCAAAATTTTATACCAAACAAATACGTGGCCGTGTATTTGAGAGACAGACAATTTCTAATGAATTCCATGTTACTGGTTCATGGAAGGTAGAAGTAATCTGGGACAATTCTTCAAGTCTACTAACCATTTACAGCAGAAATAAACCGACCAAAGGTTTGTTACTGTGTAAGCTCACAGCAAGCAGATACGCGCAGAATCTTTGCCCCTTTATTACTATGGAACATACAACTTCTACTCTACAAAGCAGAACAAACAAGAGAGTGGATCACAGAATGTATAGGGACCAACAAGGCTTGAAACCAGCTGACTATTCATTTACAGAAATACTGTGTGTGCTCAATAAATAATCAGTTAGAAATATATAAAAATGTAAATGAATAAAATGTTGGAAGAGCAAACATAAAACTAATTAATGCTGAGTTCAGACTGCACGATTTTCAAAGTAGTCGCATCACAGATGTTTCCACACTGCATGACTATATGGGGTAGCATGGGACATATAGGGTAATCTGGGACAATTCTTCAAATCTACTAACCATTTACAGCAGAAAAAAACAACCAAAGGTTTGTTACTATGTAAGCTCACAGCAGGCCAATACGCGTGAAATCTTAACAGGTCAGTTGTCGTTTCTGTGCGGAGTTTACATGTTTTCCCTGTGCTCATGAGAGTTTCTGTATCTCTGGTTTCCTCCTACAGTCCAAAAACATGTGTCATAAGTAAATTTATCAAAATTAGCACTATCTATAGTAGAGCTCTTAAACAGCAGTATATCTCTATAAAGGCTAATTATAATCTGTCATCACCTCTAAATAAGGGCGGAGTTCTCGAAACCTACCTGAGCTCAAACTCCCTTTTGCCCTGCAAACCGGAGGGAGCCCCAGGCTCGAGGATCTTATGAACTTAGGGCTCTTTCTCGGGACAGCATGCCAAACAAGATTTATTATCAATTTAAATGTGAACTCCTGAACATAAGCTGTGTCACCGACTCGGTCCCAGTCATTCCCCTCGCTGGCCAGCAGAGGCCGCCATCCCCGGGCTTAAGCATTACATCATCCATCTATACTGATTGTGCACACACCTGAACTGAATCCCGTTAACGACCCACGCTCCCTATTTAAGCCACACTGAGACACCAGTTCATTGCGAAGTCTTGTTTAGCCCCGGCCAGCATTTCTCAGCGTTATTTCCTGACTGTTCTCTTGTGTATAACTCCAGCCCGTTTCTGACTCTGCTTCGCCTTCTGCCTGCCCACGACCCAAGCCTGATACACGGACTCTGATACTCGCTACCTGCCCTCGACCCAAGCCTGATACACGGACTCTGATTCTCGCTACCTGCCTTCGACCCAAGCCTGATACACGGACTCTGATTCTCGCAGCCTGCCTTTGACCCATGCCTGGTAAATCACTCTGTGTCTGTTTGCCGCCAGCCTTGAGACCTTTACTGCTACTATTGATGTGTGTTTGCACCTTTGTGCATATTGTTTGTTAAAGTGAGAGTGTGATTTAATAAATACTGCATAATGAAGTCTCCTCGTTACAAGCTGATATAAACCAGCAGTGTAATCAATGTTTTAAACCAATTATGTTTTGAATAAACTGCTTATTTATTCCAATGTAAAATGTCAAAAAGTATTCTTTCATCAAATACTACTTATTTATTCTCATAAACTCTTAATAGTTTTCATATGTTTGCTGCAAGTCATCTACTATTAAATCATGTGTTGTAACTGAAGGATTATTGTTTGGGGTTCTCTTCTTGTTTGTCAATTAAACCCACTGGTGTGTATTTTGAGCACTGGGAAACACGTTGAGCATGGAGCTTCAGCACATACTCTCTCTCCTGCAGAAGCTGCCGTTGATGGCTCTCAAGAGATTTCTGCTGTCTTTGTAGGGCGTGTAATCTCTGAGCCAGGTTTTCTAACTCCATTCGTAAACATTTGTTCTGCTCAAGCACCTCTTTCGAATAAGACATCAGAGTGTGTTTTGCCATCTAGGTAAATGGGAGAAAACAGTTGACCTAGTCATGCCAACAGTAATGTGACAGTGCAGCCATGTTGATTTATTTACTTACTCTCTTACCTTCGTGATGGAAAGAGTGAAAGCTCGCACTTTTTCCTTTGCCATTTTCTCATATTTCTCCTTCTCTTTTTTGAAGTCATCCCTGAGAGCCAGCAGAGTCTTTGAATGATGACCCTGCATGGCAGCCACTTCTCTTTCCAGCTCTGCAATACGACACGACTGCTGCTGTTGTAGAGTCTACAAAACACACACATGCAGGTATAAATAGGGCCATTTACAACAACAGCAACTATAACAATAATTATCGTAGCATCTATTGCACAATGTCGTTCTTTTTTAAAAAGTTTTATCATCAGCCTATTTAAATGTGCAAAGCAGGATTAATTATGATTGGCTTTCAGTTTTTAATCATTCATCAGCTGAAAAATGTGAATGATTATTATTAAATTGAATTCAAGTTTTTTAAAATAGTGCTTTCACAATAGTTATCATTTATTAATTTAATTATTTATGTATTTTGTTATTTAACTAGGAATGTCCCATTGAGATACAATATCGCTTCTACTAGGGAGTCCTGGTCAAGACAGGCAGCATAGGATGGAGTTACAAAAAATCCATATCACAAAACATAGAAACACACAAAAATAATATAAACCATAATTGACTGTCGTCATCATCATCATCATCATCATCATCATCATCATCATCATCATCATCAATCTAAAGCAGCTTTACAAAATGTGCACATTATAAACAAAAGCAGTAAAGTTTTAATTGTTGAGTATATGGAGGAAAGTACAGCGCTCAAGCATATTTGAAGTCAGAATAATTAGCCGTCCTGTGATTTTTTTTTTTTTTCTTTTTTAAATTTTTCCCAAATTATGTTTAACAGAGACATTTTTCACAATATTTCCTATAATGTTTATTTCTTCTGGAAAAGGCTAGAATGAAAGCAGTTTATATATATGTATTAAAAAAAACATTTTAATGTCAATATTATTAGACCGCTTAAGCAATAATTTCTTCAATTGTCTACAAAACAAACCATTATTATACACTGACTTGCCTAAATACTCCAACTTGCCTAGTTAACCTAATAAACCTACACTCATCTGCCACTTTATTAGTTACACTTGTCCAACTGCTCATGAACGCAAATTTTAATCAGCCAATTACATGGCAGCAACTCAATGCATTTGGACATGTAGACATGGTCAAGACGATCTGCTGCAGTTCAGACCCAGCAGCAGAATGAGGAAGAAAGGTGATTAAAGTGACTTTGAATGTGGCATAGTTGTTAGTGCCAGACAGGCTGGTCTTTTCAGAATCTGCTGATCTACTGGGATGTTCACTCACAACCATTTCTAGGGTTTACAGTGAATGGTCCGAAAAAGAGAAAATATCCAGAGAGCAGCAAATGCCTTGTCAATGCCAGAGGTTAGAGGAGAATGCCCAAACTGGTTCAAGCTGATAGAAAGGTAACTCAACGGTAACTCAAATAAACATTTGTTCTTCAAAACTGAGTTATGCAGAAGAGCATCTCTGAACGCACATGTCGAACCTTAAGACGGATGGGCTACAGCAGCAGAAGACCACACTGTGTGCTACTCCGGTCAGCTAAGCACAGGAAACTGAGGCTACATATCGCACAGGCTCACCAACATGAATCATCTCTGACTGGTTTCTTTAACATGATCATGAATTCACTGTACTTAAATGGCCTCCACAGTCACCAGATCTCAATTTAATAGAGCACCATTGGGATGTGGTGGAACAGGAGATTAACATCATGGATGTGCAGCCAACAAATCTGCAGCAACTGTGTGATGCTATGATGTCAATATGGACCAAAATATCTGAGGAATATTTCCAGTACCTTGTTGAATCTATGCCATGAAGGATTAAGGCAGTTCTAAAGACAAAAGGGGGTTCAACCCAGTACTAGGCGTTCCTAATAAAGTGTAGTTAAGCCTTTTAATTGCACTTGATTACTGAAATCTTAAAAAAAAAAAAATCTAGTAAAACATTATGTACTGTCGTCATGGCAAAGATAAAAGAAATCAGTTACTAGAAATGCGCTATTTTAACTATTATGTTAAAGAAATTTGGGAAAAAATATACAGGGGGCCTAATAATTCACGAGGGCTAATAATTCAGACTTCAACTGTGATATCTGTGTGTTTATTTTTAAAACTTCATCTTCACACATATCTCCAAAGTTACTGTTCCTGATTTGAAGAGCCCATCATTTTACGTTTGGCACAAAAAAGCTCCTCTACGAATACAATTAATACAAAAACCTATTACACACTTGAATAGTTTAATTAGCTTTTTAATAGAATTTTTAAAAACTAATTGACTACCTTGACGTCTTCCAGGTCTGCAATTTCCATATTTAGCTTGGCCAGCTGATGTTCCATGCGCAGGATCTCCTTCCGTAGTTCTGAAAACTCCAACAACACACATTTTAAGTACAATATTTTTGTTAATTCGATAGTATCTAATCAAGTTTTACCTAATACTACCTGTAGTGAGTATTTACCTATCGTAAAATTTAAATTAATGCAAAGATATAAGTTATAACAAACAATTTTTTTCTGTCATTTACATAAATCTCGCGTTTTTATTCTTAATTTCTCATACCCATACATACAAACTTTTCTCACCGCTGGCCTGCTCCTCGTGATTTTCCTGCATGCTCTGTCTCTGTCTCAGCAGCTTCTCAAGTTCCCGATGACTCTGATCACTCAAAGACCCTATTGCAGTCTGTCTCTTCTCTGCTCTCTTAGCGAGATATGAGATGTACTCTTCCTGTCCAGCACAGAGAGATAAAATATGTATTTATTCATGTCTACATTCAATCATTCATTCCTTTGTAAGAACTTACACTTTCCACATGAGTCTGGGCAGCCTCATTCTGAAGAAAGTCATTTTCTTTTCGTCTAGAGTTAATTGTGTTAAATTGTCAAACACTTGATGTCAAAACATGTGTAAAAAAACAGTTATTGTCATTTAAATATCCAGCCAGCATTGTTTTGTGTTTAAAAAAAGTCCAATAGATGTCTAAACAAGCAAGGCTAAATTTGGACTCTCTGTGAAATGTTTAAGAGCAGCCCAAAATAGTCATCAAGTACAAAGATTTCGACAGACTTCACTAACCATAGTTTAACCATGGTATTTGTAGTGAAAAAAAAAAAAAAAAAAAATTCCACTATAAAGTGGTCTGGGTGACACGGTGCCTCAGTGGTTTGCAAGAGTGGTTAGCAAAACAGCAAGAAGGCCGCTGGTTTGAGTCCTGACTGGGTCAGTTGGCATTTCTGTGTGGAGTTTGCATGTTTTCCCCATGTTTATGTGGGTTTCCTCCGGGCGCTCCCGTTTTCCCTACAGTTCAAAGACATGCGGTTTAGGTGAATTGCATGAACTAAACTGACCATGTATGTGTGTGAATAAGTGCATACGGATGTTTTCCAGTACTGGGTTGCAGCTGGAAGGGCAAAATAAAACTTATGCTGGATACGTTGGTGGTTCATACCGCTGTGGCGGCCCTTGATGAATAAAGGAACTAATCTGAAGAAAAATGAATGAATGAATGAATGAATGAATGAATGAATGAATGAATGAATAAAGTGGTCTGTCATCAGATCATCAGGTCCCCGAGCTTGACTAGATGACAAGTGCACTAAACGTCTTTAAAACAACCAAAACACACTTTCCTGACCAGGTTATGAAGAGTTATTTTTGTCCGTGCAAAGGATACAGTTGTTGAACTCTTATCTTCAGTGTGCATAGCTCCTCAGTAAGAATGTCATATCTGTGGGTTGAAAAGAGTAATAAACTGTCTACCTTAAAAATGAGACAACGTTTCTTTGCTTTTCTTCAGACAACTTACTCCATGTGCAACAGTGTTTCTTTCTGTGATTCAACCTGTCCTGCGCTCTCAGACGACACATTTGCATCTTCCTGCTGCTTTGACTCGCTTTTCTTTTTTGACATCCTTAAATACTGTTAACTCGCATACAGCAAACTTTCTAAGACAAAAGAAAATGTAATGTGTTTTCTAGCATTTATCAAGCTCCGACGCTTTTCACTTGGTTCCATGTAACCAAGACAACCACAAATAAGGGTTTGCTGTTAAAGCTAAACAGACTTATAAGCGTTGGTTTTTTTTTTAATAATATCTAAAACTAAAATGTTAGACGTATAAACATTTATTAAGACCAATTTGATCGGAATTCAGTTTAATTTATTTGGGAAAAATCGACTGTGAAAAGAACAGCGTTTCATGTTTGTGCCGTGTGTTGATATTTCACACGCTAGCCGCTAGGTGGGGCAAGGTATGTTGCCAAGTCCTTCTATTATAAGTTAAGCTACTTGGAGTATTTTTTTGCATTATGTCTCTTATAAATATCGAAGGATGGAGATTTTATTTGACTTTTTTTTAGAACAATATATCTGTCCTCGTTTTTCATAATCATGCTAATAGGTTTGTTACTGTTTACTTTGCTAGTCACCTTATTAGCTGCTAACAAATAAAAGGTCTCACAGATTCAAAGAAATTAGCCTACTTGTGTTAAAAATAAGATTAATTCTGATAATGACAAAGAGGAAAATTGATGGAAATTTCTAGTCGAACAATGATATAGCACTAATAAATAATGGAATTAACCCAACTAAAGAGATCATGTAAATCTACAGATGTTGGTTACCACTTGTAGGCACTGTCTGATGTAATTTTCATTGTCTTTTAAGTTATCATTGTTGATTAGAACATGCATTATTACAGCTAACCTTTCAAAAAAATAACTTAAAGATATCATTACTATGAAAAAATATTCGTGGATTAATGCCTCTATCTACATAGCAGGACATTTAGTTAATAATTGGGCTTGATAGCTACTGTAAAACTCGTGTGGGTTTCCTCCAGGTGCTCCAGTTTCCACAACAAGTTCAAAGACATGCGGTATAGGTGAATTGGGTAAGCTAAATTGTCCATAGTGTATGTGTGTGAATGAGTGTGTATGGATGTTTTCCAGTGATGGGTTGCAGCTGGAAGGGTATCCGTTGCGTGAAACATATGCTTTAAAAGTTGGCAGTTCATTCGGCTGTGGTGACCCAAGATTAATAAAGGACTAAGTCGAAAAGAAAATGAATGAATGAATTAATGAGTACTGCAAAACAGTAAAACTATATAATTATTTAAAACTGCATTTTGCTGTAAAAAACTCAATTTTATGTAAAAAAAAACTACTTTTTTTGTAATCAGTGTTTTTAAAACAATTCAATGGAAATTAAATTGTTACTTTTTAATTTTAGTTTATTCACTAGTATTATTTATTTCATTACCAAACCCTTATTGGAAGGAAATTGCTGTGAGATCTGGCAACATTGCGTACAGTGTATTGAGCGAACAGACAGGAGAAGGCAGAACAGGGCTGACTTACACAAGAAGCGTCCACCGTATATAGTTTTCCCATGTTTGACAATTAAAAAATATTACATAACCGCAATAATAAACGCCATTCTTCTCTGTCTTCATGGGTTGCGGCTTCAGTTCACGTGCTCTGCGGCTGCCGGAGAAGAGGAGCCGGGGCTGAAGACTTCAGTCAGTCCGGAATCCGGATGAAGGAGCCGCGGAGAAGCTGAAGCATCCGCATCCCGACAGACAATCACAGCGATGATGGAGGGACGACACGAGTTCTTATGCGGGGTTGTGGAGGGTAAGTTTACGAGTACACATCTTTAATTTGAATGCTTGGATGAGTGCCACAAATTAGACCAAATAAATGTGATTAAATCGTTAAATTGTGTGCTTCTGGCGGTGTGGCAGTTTGGGATGCCTGTTATTACGACTATGCGTATTCGAAACGTTTATTTACTACACAATATTATTTTAACGCATACACACCACGCTGCAGTGACTCCTAAAATTACCCTTTAATATAACCCATTTTTCATTTATGGGCTAGTAGGGCAGTTCATCTTAGCCACCGTGGAGCATCCTGGGTATTTATTTCCATATTTATACTGGTGTGTGATTGGAAGCAGCTGGCTAGAAACTATAACACACACACACACACACACACACACACACACACACACACACACACACACACACACACACATGTTAGTGCACATCTCTTAATTGGCCTTACTCTTGTTTATAGCTCAGCATCACATTATTGGCTCGATGGGCGATTTGTGTATTTTCTCCACTGGAAATGTCACCCTGTTGGATTCCAGTAGCTTTTTCTCACTGACCCACTTCTGTTGTGCAGCTGGAAACTTTAGGACCACACTGGGCTGAATATTCGACTATCAGGACCATTGCAAGAAAGTGGTTGGGACGAGGAAACATATGGCTATTGATATATACTACTCAATATAAATGCTAATTTACATTTTAATACATTTAATACACTAAAAAAATTGGTTGTTCAAACTACTTATTTTAAATTAGCTGAAACAACACAATTATTAAGATTTTGTTGGGACATCTAATTTTTTATGTTTAATCCACTTAAATTTGTTAAATATGTACGTTAACTTACCCAATTTGTGTTGGGACAATATATGAATTGTGTGGAACTCTGCATTTTTCTTTACAGTGTAACAAATATCTTAGTATACATATTATATCCACCGTTATCTACATTGGTGGTGTAACGGATCACAAATCTCACAGTTGGGATCACACTATGGTTTTTGGGTCATGGATCGGACCATTTTTCGGATCAGCAAAAAAGGGAGGAGACAAATATCATTTGGTTTCCATTTATACAACAATATTACTGTAAAAACCATTGGTTTTAACAAACAGAACTTAGAACCTGTAATTTTAATAAAAATAAAAATCAAGAAGGAACCAGTTAAAAAAAGGAAAATATTCAATACAAAAAATGATCTGTGCTACTGTTGCTGATAATGCTAAATATAGAAATCTAACGTCTTGTTTAACATATTATATATTTTTTCAATTAACGGTTCAACAATTCACACATAAAACTTCATGTTTCATTATAGGCATGGATCATTTTTGAAAACCTATTCAGTGACATAATTTTGATGGTTGTTTGTCGCCATCTATTGTTTAAACAGTGTAATTGCACCAACATTCAACATTCACATTAAGTTCCGTTAAACAGTTATAATTTTTCCTATAAACATCAGTGTTTTTATCTGAACTATAAACTGTTACCCTAGTACTTCTGAGTTATGTAATTGTTTGTAACTAACTGAAAAAGTGTAAAAATTGAATCTCTCTTGATCAAAAGCAGATTTAAATGCAGCGCTTTAAAGGATTAATAAACATATGCAGATCATTATGATTTATTATTTCGACTTTGAATTGAGATCACAATCTTTTAATGCTTAATTGTGCAGCTTAAACTGAATGCATTAATGCAGGCTAAACAGTGACAGAAAACACCTTTAATAACCTAAGAAAGCATTTAGGTCCCACCACAACTTTTTCCATCATCATTATATTTTACAGGGAAGCCAAAATGCTTTCATGAATGACACGGGAGGCATTCTCTTTGCAGTTGTTATAAATGTTGCAGTTGGTAGAAATGATCCGTTACACCCCTAATCTACTGTACAGACACACAGTATCCTCATAGAGGCATAGAGAAATAGATTTATACAGATAACTTTTAATAATCCTTTGCAAGACCAACATGTTGTGAACTCTGAGGTTATTAAGTGATTGTTTATTCTCCTGTTGAAATCATCTTGCATTGAGTCAGCTTTATTTTTACAACAGTTGTGCATAATAGCAGAAACTGTGCAGAAATAAAACATGATTCTGTACAGCAGCTTCCGAGAGATTACTGTCAAACATACATTAAAGTCTACAGAGGCATATTAAAAAACAACACTCATTATTGACATACCAATAGTGCCAATCATGTCATATTGATAATTACTGAAGCAAATCAGCAGTGATATATGCGTGGTTTGTTTTCCCTTCCCATGCAGCCGGCATGAATAATAAATGATAACCAACCACTGTCTTACCCATAATGCAGCAAAATCTGATCCTAGAATTCTACAACAGCATAATGATGTGTGGTTCCGAACACCCTCTGTAACACTCTACAGTATAACGTTTGTGGAATTTAATATAAAAATAAATTAGATGTGTCTTATGAATTTATTTTTGAACTTTCAGTACATGTTCGTTTGAGCTGATTGAAAGATTGGGTGGGTTTTTTCCGGATGCTCCGGTTTCCCCCCACAGTCCAAAGACATGCAGTACAGGTGGATTGAATAAGCTAGTGTAGTGTATGAGCGTAGTGTATGAGAGTGTGTGCAAGAGTGTGTGGATATGTTCCAGTGTTGGGTTGCAGCTAGAAGGGCATTTACTGCGTAAAAATTATGCTGGATAAGTTGGCGGTTCATTCCGCTATGGCGACCCCTGATTAATAAAGGGGCCAAGTCGAAAAGAAAATGAGTGAATGAATGACTGGGTGCACATTGTAAATATACAGTTGAAATCAGAGTTATTAGCTCTCCTGAATTGTTAGCCTCCCTGTATATTTTCCACAGTTTCTGTTTACAGAGAGATGATTTGTTCAACAAATTTCTAAACATAATAGTTTTAATAACTCATTTCTAATAACTGAATTATTTTATCTTTGCCATGATTACAGTAAATTATGTTTTTCTAGTTATTTTTCAAGACTCTTCTATACAGCTTAAAGAGACATTTAAAGGCTTAATTAGGTTGATTAGGCAAGATGGGGTCATTAGGCAAGTTATAACGATGCTTTGTTTTGTAGACTATCGAAAATATAAGGCTGATAAAATTGACTTTAAATGGTTTAAAAAAATCTAAAACTGCTTTTATTCTAGCTGAAATAAAACAAATAACACTTTCTCCAGAAATAGAAAGCACACAGACATACTGTGAAAGTTTCCTTGCTCTTTTAAACATGATTTAGAAAATATTTGAATATATATATATATATATACAGATGGCTTGTAACCTGGATTTACTTATTTTAATGTTAAATTAATTAAATACTTTTTTATGTCAGGAACTACATACATTTTATTTTGTTCAAATTTAACCCAATAATTCAAAATATAATGTTTCTGGATAAACAAACACAGTTAAAGTCAGAATTATTGGATCCTCTTTGAATTTATTTTTCTTTTTTAAATAATTCTCAAATTATGTTTAACAGAGCAAGGACATTTTCACAGTATGTCTGATAATATTTTTTCTTCTGCATAAAGTCTTTTTTGTTTTATTATGGTTAAATTAAAAGCAGTTCTTAATTTTTTTAAAGCCATTTTTAGGACAAAATTATAAGCCCCTTTAAGCTATATATTTTTATGATAGTCTACAGAACAAACCATCGTTATACAATAACTTGCCTAATTACCCTAACCTACCTAGTTAACCTAATTAACCTAATTAAGCCTTTAAATGTCACTTTAAGCTGTATAGGAGTGTCTTGAAAAATATTTAGTCAAATATTATTTACTGTCATCATGGCAAAGATAAAATAAATCAGTTATTAGAAATGAGTTATTAAAACTAATATGTTTAGAAATGTGTTGAAAAAAAATCTTCTATCTGTTAAACAGAAATTGGGGAAAAAATTAAGCAGGAGGCTAATAATTCAGGGGGGCTAATAAATCTGACTTCAACTGTATGTCAAATGCTTCAGCAAAGACTGTGTGCTTTCTTTAAAAATATTCTTCCCTTTCCAGCTAATTCTTACCAAAAACGCCCACTCAGACAGAAAGAGACCACCTCCCTCCAATTAACGCTTGGTCCACCCTGAAGGACATCAAAACAAGATTTATGTGGGGGTCAGCCCTTTAAATTGCTTTCTCTGATCTATATATTAAACATTAATAATTAAAATATATAACATAAATATACATTTGACCCCTCTATAACGGTTCATACCATTGTGAATGCGTAATCGCACCAATCAATTATAGGAAAAATATTCAACATTCTAAAACTGGCAGTTCTAGAGCACCGATAGACATCTTAAGTATTCACAAAACTCGTTTCTTGTAAAATAGGTGTTTATATCTTCATGTAGCCTAAAAAGAAGAACAAATAGACATAATTTATATAGTTTGACCTACAGTAACATCTAAAATAGTAACTAAATATACCTCAAAACACTAAAAACTTATACATTTTATTAAAATATGAGATGTAATTTAAATACATTCATAAATTTGATTCACTGAAGCATGTATTACCAAACTACTGTAGCCTACACAAAAAAAGTTAACACTCCTGATCGTCAATGTCTAATTCGCACTCTGGATACTACACAACAAAAAAATGAAGGGCGTCAGTTCGGGAAGTCAGCTACCTTTTGTTAAATAATTTAGAACTGCAATAAAATACGTGCACATTTTCCATACTTCCATCTTTTTGTATGCATAACATTTGAATTCATATTCAAAAATACGTTATATAATTCTTTACCATTTTAAAAATATTTAAATTCTAGTTTTACAGATGTTATTTTTGTCACATTATTTCAAATATGAGGCTAAGAAATAGCTATATTTTTTTTGTTTGGTGGGGCCAGTGAAAATGTTGACTGGGCAAGTAGAAAAAATACTTAGCGTTAAACCCTGCCATGGCCATTATTATATAACAGGCACAGAATGGTACTGTATGTATGGGCCCAAAATTCGGAGTCTGCCCAAAATGTGTCTGTTTGAGTGGGTTGTAGTGAGGAGGAGGTGGAGAAAAACAGAAATACTAAAAGCTTTGGGGCAGTTATGAAATGCTGCCTTGTGTAAAAACGCAGAAAAAATAATTTAAGTATTTGTTTTTGTCTGCATATTTTGTATATGTGATGGTTTTGTGTATTTTACTCCTCAGGTTTCTATGGGCGACCCTGGTCAATGGAACAAAGGAAGGTACTATTTCAGTGGTGAGTATTGTATCTGAACACACTTTTGAATGGAATGTGGATTGCTTTTTGTATGCACTTGAGTTATTGGAAGAACACTGGATGCATGTTATTGGTGTGGTGTTGTGTAATGTCATATAGGACGGTGATTAAGATTGTGCTGGCGATGTGAGGCTGTCCGGGGGGCAGTGCAGAGCAGCTGGTGCGTTGCAGAGGTGTAAAAGAGTGTGGGCAGAGAGACAAATGGCTTTTTCTGACTAATGACTGGACACTGGTGCCAGCATGACTCCATTGAGCCACAGTTTCACACGTCTTCATACATTAGCCGTGATGAAAGCAGTGGCAAGGAGCAAGTCTACTTTCTATCGTAGCTTTGAAGCAGAACTCTGGTAAAGTGGAAATAGAGAGGAATAAACAGAAATAAGAAGATGATATTTTAATAATAATAATTGTAATAGGAATAATAATATATAAATATGAGATCTTTAAATAGTAGTCATTATACATGGTTTAATAATAATATTAACAGTAATAGTAATAATAATAATGACATTTAATCATTATTATTAATTACATATTCATTATTATTATTATAATTTTATAATTTTCCTGCAATATCAATTTGTATTATTTGCTTGTGATTGACATTATCTTATATTATTTAATATATTTACTACTAATTATGTTCATAATAAAATTTTAATAAAAAAAATCATAATTTCTAATATTCTAATATATTTGTTTCCCCCTAAAATGAAATATATTAATTATGCTGGCTTCTAGTCCCTTGTTATTCAATATAATATACTAATACTACTATTACTAAATAATAGTAATATTAATAATAATAATAATAATAACAATAATAGGAAAAAGATGAGGAGGAAAAAGAAGAAGAATTAGGAGTATTTGATATATTAGCATTGATTAATTTCTTGTGATAGTTGGCTGTTTATTCCGCTGTGGAAAATTAATGAATAAATGAATTTCTTGGGATCAGCTCTTTCTTTCTTATGTTATTGGATTTGTAATTATATATAATAACACTCCAAATAATATTAAAATTTGTCATAAACAATATTGTTATTTGATATATTGTAATTTCTTTATAACTACAAATTATGAATAATAGCTAACGAGATAATGTTTTGTGCATATTTATTGAGATTTATTTAAATGTTCAACAGTGGTTGAAGGATAGAAAGAGAAACAATAGGAAACAGGGTAATTGCATCTGTGCTGTAAAGAATCCTATTTTTATGCTGCAGGCTAGTATAGTGCTAATCTAGCTGGTAATCAGTTGTTGGAGTTAATTAAACAAGTCTTATAATTGTAAAGAAGCCTGGTGATACCAACAAACCACCACCTAAATCAGGTATACCGAACGCTCCTGTGCTGTGTTGAGTCTCTGCTTTCCTTTAGTCATGAAGCAGTTTTTCTCTCTCATCTGCAGCACTGATGAACAAACTCACACTGGACTGGCAGATCCCTACTTGATCTGCAAAACCCAAGTGCTCCTGCCTTAAGCTTAGTGCAGCGTCTGTTATACAAGGGATAGTTCACCCAAAATATGAAAATTTCCTCTACATTTACTTACATTAAAGTGGTTCTAACCTTTTATAAATTTTTTTCATCTGCTGAACACAAGACAAGATATACTGAAGAATGTTGGAAAAAAATGGCCATTGACATTCATTGTAGGACCAAAAATAATATGGAAGTCAGTATAGCGTTATTTGTTTTTCAACATTCTTCAGTATATGTTCACTTTTGTTTAACAGAGGAAAGTGGAAGAAATAAGTGGATGATCAGTACATTTTCGGGTAAGAAAAAATTCGAAGTGGGTTTTTTAGCCATGAATCAGAGATGCTCAAAGTAGGGCCTGTGGGCCAAAGTTGGCCCTTTGTAATCTTTGATTTGGCCCTCAGTCTCATCTAAGAAGAAATTGAGAATGATGGGGAGAGGTTTGGGACGAATGCCTTTAGCAGAGATCACCATTTTTATTTTGACGTAATCTTTTTTGTTTGTTTGTTTTATTGCTTAGCTACAAAAAAAGCAAACTGAAATGAAATGTTTCAATTAAATGTTCAAATGTAAATGTCACTCGACCGAAGGACTATGCAGAACACGTCGCCATCGTTGAGCAAATCAAGGCAAAAATAGCCAACTCCATTCTGTTATTATTAAATTTTCTTTCTTTATACTAAAATAAGTTCATTATATATGTCACGTAATAAAGGGACTAAGCTGAAAAAAAAATTAATGAATGAATATATGTCACGTAAGAAAAAGGGAGAATCTAACGAGTGAAGGACAGTTTAATGAAGTGCAACAGTGAATATAAGTCTTAAAGTGCTCAAAAGGATAAAGAGACTAGCAGAATGTCCAGTACAGAGAGCTTCCACAAGTCCAGAAAACCTGGACATTACTCAGACAGGAACATGAAAATAATAAGCAGTGAAACACAGACTGTTAAACAGCCCACAAAACAGGCATCAGCTAGAACTCTATGATTAGGTAAGCTGATCGGTATACACGCTACCATGAAAAGGTAAACAGACACACTCACCCACGCACACACACCACAACACATACTTCATAAAATACAGGAAGAACACACAGACCCATAAACCATGACAATATAATGTTAAAAATACATATGCTGTATTAGTTCATATAAGCAGAGTTTTCTAGTTAATTTTTTTATATTTTAAGTAAATTAGGAAATTAGCCATGGCAACTATATTTACCTTTGGTCCACTAGCTACGATGTTTGGTTTTTGGCCCTTTATAGGAAAACGTTTGGGCACCCCTGGCAAAAATGAATCTTAAGAACATATTCATAATAGTTATAGTCATACTTAAGAAACCACTTGCTCACTCACTATACTTCAGCTTAGTCCCTAGTTTAGCTTGGTATCTAGTTTAGCAGGGGTCAGCACAGCGAAATGAACCGCCAATTATTCTGGCATATGTATTATGCGGCAGATGCCAATCCAGATGCAACCAAACCATAGAAAACACCCATACAATCAATTCACCTATACACTGCATGTCTTTGAACTGTGTGGAAACCAGAGCACCCAGACGAAACCCCCACGAACATGTAAACTCCAACATTTTTTTAGAATTAAAAGGTGTATTTCTACATGAAACCATGAAATAATGGCTTACTATTTGTAAAATATTCCAGAATTATTCATTCATTTGTATGTGATGCTCAAATCTGTCAAGTTTACAATTACAAAATACAATGGATCACAGAAAATCTATACAGCATAGTTATATTACTTGAAACGAGTCCATTTTGTCAAGGTCTTTGTCTCAGTATCAACTGTATTTGTATTCATACAGCTATGCTTTGGTCTTTTCTTGGGCTCATTCATGTTGTTGTGTCTTGGTTGTAAAATTCTTTGATATGTCCCAATTTAGGTGGTCTAGAGCACATGATATGACTAAGGGATGTGAGACGGGGTACAACAGGGCATGCGACAGTTCCATTAAATGGACTAAATCGTTTAAACAGGACGTTGTGCATATATTTGTGTGTGTTGTTCTGATCAGTGACAAAAATTAGTGCGTATGAATCCATCTGCACAGGAAGAAAGAAGGGAAGAGAAAGATTGCACATACACACACACACACTCTCTCTCTCTCTCTCTCTCTCTCTCTCTTAAGCGATAGAGGCACTGGTTCAAACTCAGCCTAGGATGAAAAGAGTAATAGTGGAGGCGAAAGTAGGGGGATGAGAACTTTTACACGCTTGACTGAGAGTGGAGTGATTGTGCTGATTCAGTGGATGAAGGGAAAGAAGGAGGAGAAAATGGAGGTGGTGAAAGAAGAGGGTGAAAATGAGAGATTCTATCTGCTCATTAGCATTTTAAATAGGTTGGCGAGGGAGAAACCCAAAATTAGCTTTGTTGTGTGTCCATGTGTGTGTGAGTGTGAGTGTAAGCACAGGCTTGTTAGAGGTTAACCTTTGGGGATGTTCTTTAATATTTTATATAAGCACTAACTCAGCCTCAATCTATTTAGGGAGTGTGCTTTTCTCAGGAGAGGACTCTCTCTGTTTCGCACACACACTGACAGAATAGTCTATGTTTGGCAAAGATGTTATGCCGCATTTCTAGTTATAGGCTCAGATCTTCATTAAAACATTAATGTGAAAGAATCCCTCTCAGTTCTTTGAAACAAGCATCTTACAAATCATTCCTGAAATTGAGGGATTTTATAACAACCCTAGTTTAGTTTTTGACTGTTTAGAAAATACATTTATTAATTACACATATCAGAGTAGTTTATTCATTGTGAACTAAGAATGTCAAACTCTCACGATTGCGGTATCATTCCTTCGTCTTGCATTTTATGTAATAACTGGCTTTAAATAGTTTGAACTAAAATTAAATTATATATTTAAAATAATTGTGACAAATTTACAGGGTAAATGTAAATTATACAGAATTTAAACGTAAAAATGTAGCTCCTCTATGACATGTTGGTTACCAAGTATAAATATTTGATATTTTTTACAGGGAAATTTGCTACATTTACATTTAGTCATTTAGCAGATGCTTTTATCCAAAGCGACTTACAAATGAGGACAAGTAAGCAATTTACACAACTATAAGAGCAACAATGAATAAGTGCTATAGGCCAGTTTCAGGTCTGTAAAGTCTAAGAAGAAAAGTATTAGTAATTTTTTTTTTGAGTACCATTAGTGGTATATCTAGTGGCAATTGCAGATTAGGAAGTGAAGTGGAGACTAAATAGTTGAGTTTTTAGTCGTTTCTTGAAGACAGCGAGTGACTCTGCCGTTCTGATGCAGTTAAGGAGTTCATTCCACCAACTGGGCAGATTTAATGCGAGCGTTCGCGAAAGTGACTTCTTCCCTCTTTGGGATGGAACCACGAGGCGACGTTCATTCACAGAACGCAAGTTTCTGGAGGGCACATAGATCTGCAGAAGTGAGAGCAGATAAGAAGGAGCAAGCCAGAAGTCACTTTGTAGGCAAACATTAGAGCTTTGAATTTGATGCGAGCAGCAACTGGCAGCCAGTGCAAACGGATGAGCAGCGGAGTGACATGTGCTCTTTTAGGTTCATTGAAGACCACTCGTGCTGCTGCGTTTTGGAGCAGCTGAAGAGGCTTGATAGAGTTAGCTGGAAGCCCGGCTAGTAGAGAGTTGCAGTAATCCAGTTTGGAGAGAACAAGAGTTTGAACAAGGAGTTGAGCTGCATGTTCAGATAAGAAGGGTCGGATCTTTCTGATGTTATAGAGTGCGAATCTGCACGATCGAGCAGTTCTAGAAATGTGGTCAGAGAAGTTCAGTTGGTCATCAATCGTTACTCCAAATCGTTACTGCTAAATGTGTACTTCACTCATTGTATAGATTCAAAACATTTTTTTCTTTTTCTTTTTTATTAATCGTCGGTTAATTTAATACATGAGCACATACAGATACATTCTCAGCTATACAGTAGGGAAAAAGGGGAAATATACAAACAAGTAAACAGGGTAATACAGTCAGGCTATTAGCTAAAATATACAGCATAGAATTGAAAAATCAGGAGAAATTATTAATGCAGTGCTAAAAGGTGTCCATAACTGCCGAAAGTCATCTGACTTTTGATGTATGTCAAAGGTGAGTTTCTCGAATGGAAATTGCGTACATACTTGAGACAACCACATTTTAAAGGAGGTTACCTGAGGAGATGACCACAATAGAAGTATACATTTCTTTGCCAGATAGACCAAGATTAAAAACAAATGCTTAGTGTGGGAGTCCAACACATTCTCTACTGCAACAAATAACAAATACAATTCCATAGAAAAACTACATTTTGATTCAAAACATTTTTAATGCAATATGGGTTTTTCATATTCAGATTTTAAATTCAAGTAGAATTTAATTAATGAAGAATCTTTTAATCTGGGGTGACCGATATCACTAACAATATCACAGAAATCAAGTCACAGGCCTTTACAGACACCTAGAAAGTCAGGGAGGATTTATTTTTAAGGTTTGTTACAACCTGTTCACACACTTACAAATTAAAATTCTTACATATATCACTCTTGAAATATTTGTTAAGAGAATATTGCCATTGACATTTAATGATTATCAGAATCAGAATCGGTTTTATTGCCAAGTGTGTTTAAACACACAAGGAATTTGCTTTGGCTACAGAAGCTTCCAGTGTACATAAAGTGACAAGTGACAACACGAAAATGAATATGAAAAAAGTTATAAGGTGCTGTTTACAAATGCGTGCGAGAAAGTATTGCATTGTATGTTGTTAAAGGTGCTGTATACAAGTATGAATGAGAAAGTAATACTAACAATAAACAGAACACTTAATATACTAACAATAAACAGAAAATATTGCAGTGCAATTAACCTATTTATATTTTTACAGTGGAGAATGAAATTTACAAAGGAAGCATTCACTTTTTTTCCACTGCAGAGAAATCGACCCTCTGCTGTTGTTAAACTCAGACTCTGCAGGAAATGTGACCCCTTATATTATTAATAGTGCATGATCAATGGATGTCACTCTCACTTTTCCCTTTGCTGTATGTTGCTCTCTTTTTTCTTGAAACCAAATGTAAAATCTGTTCTCCCTTTCAGGATGCAGATGTGGGGTTTGAACACATATCTGTATGGTCCTAAAGATGATCTGAAGCACCGGTTGCTGTGGAGAGAGGTTTATTCAGCAGAGGAAGAAGGTGAGGGGATTTATACAGTAAATATATATAGCTTTTTTTATTAGAGCAAGAACACTAGGTCAAGCTGTTTATTTACATTTACATTTAGTCATTTAGCAGATGCTTTTGTCCAAAGCGACTTAAGATTGAGGAGTCATTCAGCAATTCAACAAGAAGAGGCAATACACACAAGAAGTGCTGATTATACAAAGGAACTGCTAGTGCTCAGAGAATTAAGTGCTAGAGTAAGAAGGAGGAGTGTTTTTTTAATAGAGAGAAGAGTGTTTCTACGGGTGGTTTGCCAAGCCCACTCACCTGTGAGAAGCACACCTAAATGCACAATATTTTTTTTGAGATATGGATGGATTATTTAATCTGTTTATTTCAGTTTGTATTATAAGAGAGCATAATGTGAACAATCAGAACTGCACTTAACATAATTATATAAACATAATTTATCTAATATATTAAAAGACCTAATGTATGCCTCTAGTGTCTTCAGAAAGATTTCTGTCAAGTCAAATTACCTCATGGGTAATATACCCGTATAATACTATAAACCATATACTATAATAATAATATACCATGCTGTAAGTACCTCTTATATAAAAGCAAGACATTCTGATTGATTCTGAATGAGCTTCTCCACATTTCCAGAAGTGGGCGGAGACTTTACATCTTATGCTTTGATTACTTCCAGAACAAGCAACTAAAAATATGCATTATCTTGTCAGTTTGAACTCCTGATCTATAGTTTTTTTGAGTGTCTACACACAGACAAAATATGCAGGAACCTGTCGCTGTATTTTAGATCTGTGAACAGTCATTTCTTGAAAATGACAACAATCAACTTACTGGATGAACATTATTTACATTTTGGATATTGTGAAGTGTACCAGAAGAAAATGTCACTACAATCAAGGCATTTGAAGTAGTTTAGATATAATATTTACTGTCACAAAGAATGTCTCTCTTTAAAAGAAACTTTGTAATTGAACTTTTTCAAACATAAACGGTAGTGACTTAAGGAAGCAGGAAATATTGAAAAGCAGACAAGAACCAGAAGGTATGAGAGATTGGGCTGTGTTGTGAGTATTATCTAATATTATTATTTGGCACTACTTGAATATTTGCTCTTATGCTTGATGAAAGTAGGCTTTAATATCTTTAACAAGCAATCTCTTTTTCAGCTCAATGAAAATACAACTTGACAATGCATTCATTATAATAAATAGTAAATTATGAGGTAGTGTTATTTTTATAATGGAGTTTAAAAGAGTGTGGCTTGAGAATTACATTTTTATGGCCATATCTCATCTTATATCTTGTCATTTTCTCACTCTCTTTCTATTTTTCTCTCATTGACTCCAGCTCAGTTGAAGGCTCTAGTTTGTGAGGCCCGATCGAGGGGTCTTACGTTTGTATACGCTCTTTCCCCGGGACAGGACATCGTCTTCTCCAGCTCTTGTGACCTCACACTGCTTAAGCGCAAACTCAGACAGGTAAGAAAAAAGCTTATTGCAGTTGGATCAGTTTTCAGCCCATGCTCATATTTTACTATATTTTATTATATTTTAATATTTTATTAATATGTTTATAACTTTAGAATCTGCAAAACTCTTTTGTACAGTTTGGCCATTTTTTTAAAATGAAGGATCGCCTTGTACTTTTTCATTTCACCACTAGGTGTCAGATCTGGGCTGCCAGGCTTTTGCTCTCCTGTTCGATGACATTGATCACTCCATGTGCCAGTCAGATACAGAGGCCTTTTCTTCATTCGCTCACGCCCAGGTCACCGTGGCTAATGAGATCTTCCGTTTCCTGGGGGAACCACCTGTCTTCCTATTCTGTCCCACTGGTAGGCCAGTACATAAATATCTCAGGCTTAGTTCATTACAGAACAACAAAAAGCTTGAATCATTTATATAAGTCGCCATGAAATGGAAGTTAAGCTTGTCTTTTTTTGCCAATAAAATCCAGCTGCAGACCCACACACGTTTCAGCAGACAAAATCCAGGACACAAGATCTAGGCAAGGGCGAACCATCTATGGTTACGACGGATGTTAATTTTTTTAACGTCTTCTTGGACCATGTCTACAATATATTAGCTGGCAACTCATCACATGGTCACCCACTGAAGAAAAGCAGGGCTGCGTCCGGTCAGTACCGAGATGGGAAACCACATGGGGAAACTAGGTTGCTGCCTGAAGTGGTGTTAGTGAGGCCAGCAGGTGGTGCCCAACCTGGGGTCTGTGTAGGTCCTAATGCCCCAGTGCAGTGTATATATATATATATATATATATATATATATATATATATATATATATATATATATATATATGTATATATGTGTGTGTGTGTGTGTGTAATAAATAGTGTACACAAAAGACAATAGTGTATACTATTTCACAAATATGGCGATCAAGACGGGGGGAAAAGGAAACATTGATTGATAAAAATATATAAACAATCTAAATGGATTCATTATAATGAAGGAAATAATAGCAATTTAATATGTTTTAGGCCATAATACATCTTTATATGTAATAAAAATCTTAATAAATGTATATCACTATATTGATATTTTACTCCAGGTATTGAATAGTATTTATTTGCTTAATTAAATAATAGTCACTAGTGTTTTAACTGATTATATTTGTTTACATAAAATGAGCACCAAAACTGCACAGATGTTAAAATGATCGCAAAATGATCATAATAATGAAATAACGACTGAAATGGGAAACCCTAAACTGTTCACGATGTCAATCGCCATATTTGTGAAATACAGTAGTTGGCGATATTGCTCCTGAGGAATTAGTTGTTAAACTAGAAAAAATAAAAGTAGACTGATCCGTCATTAATCTAACATGGGTCGCCCCTGTGTTTTTTGCAGCGAATGCCCTTCCAGCTGCAACCTTGCAACTGGGAAACACCCACACACTCTTGCATTCACACACATACACTACGGCCAGTTTAGCTTATTCAGTTCACCTGTACTGCATGTCTTTGTACTGTGGGGGGAAACCGAAGCACCCAGTGGAAACCCACACGAACACGGGGAGAGCATGCAAACTCCAAACGGGAAATGTCATCTGACCCAGCTGGGGCTCAAACCAGCAACCTTCTTGCTGTGAGGCGATCGTGCTACCCACTGTGCTGCTCCTAAGAGCAAATTATTTTTGACAAAATTATGAAGTTCTTGCTTATAACTACTTTTGACATATAAAAATAAGCAGAGTACATTTTGATTTCATGGCGACTTTAATCAGTGATAACTGCTCTCCTCTTATCATCCTAAAACCAAACTTTGTTGCCTTTCCTTACATTGTCTTTTTCCCCTTCTCCCTTCCAAAACAGTACTGTGCTGTTATTTCTTTTCTCTCTAGAGTACTGTAGTTCTCTCTGCACTCCGAGTGTGTCAAAGTCTCCCTACCTGCTGACTATTGGGGAGGATCTTCTGCCTGACATCTCTGTCATCTGGACCGGTGAGAGACATTTCTCTCATACATGCATTTTTGTTTTAAACATCCCTTTAGTTTGTTACTAGTTGCAAAGCACAGAATGTTTTTGAGCAGGATTACAAACCACAAACTCCACTCACAAGCTATTATTTACACCATGTACATCCAGACTCCAGTAGTTGGTAGAGTTTTTAGTAAATGTACTCCAGTCAAAGAACAAGTAATTACTTTCACAGATCTCTTTTAAATGAATGTTTTCTGTAGGTTGCTAAATGACTAGGTATTTGTATATATACATATACATTAGATTAGTGAGATTACCTAAACTGGAACTATTCTAACACAAAACGAAACTTAAGATCAATGTCCTAAACTTTGTACACCCAAATTAATGTTGGTATTGAATAAAATTTTAATAAAGAGGAAAAAAAAAGATTTAACATTTACTTGCAATGTATTATCTTTTTATTCTTGAAGATTTGTGGTTGAATAATTATTACTGTTAAGGCTGTCGTATGCCAAAGCTGAGTGGCCTTCTCTGAATGTAAGAAGGTACACCCACTGGATGACTCTTCTGGGTCTGGTGCCTTTATACTTATGTTCCCTTCTTCATACAGTTGAAGTCAGAATTATTAGCCCCCGTGTTTATTTTTCCCCCCAATTTCTGTTTAACGGAGAGATTTTTTTCAACACTTTTTTAAATATAAGTATATAAGTTTTAATAACTTATAGTTTATTATAGTTTAATAACAGTATTTGTATTCACCTTCTGGCCATTATTTTTCTAAAGGGAATAAGGTGATTTCTCGAGAATTGAGTGCTGATTCACTAGCAGAGGTCCAGTCGGTGCTTCGAAGGCCACCCTTGATTTGGGACAACCTCCACGCTAATGATTATGACTCCCGACGTGTCTTCCTGGGGCCTTTTAAGGGCCGTCCTCCTGGACTCAGGGCCCACCTGAGCGGCCTGCTGCTAAACCCAAACTGCGAGTTTGAAGCCAACTTTATCCCACTGCATACACTGGGAAGCTGGTATAAGGAAAGAAAGGAGACTGGAAAAGGTGAGAGCAAAATTAAGGATGTTAGATGTTATCATATTTTAAAGTATGGGTACTAGCAATGCCAAGATTATGAAGATTTAAGACTTCAATTTCCAGGGAATGCATAACTTGATAAAGTGTACATGTTCAATGCAATGCAAGTGTCAAAACTCTTAACCTCTTAAGGCCCAAGGTGTTTTCTATATGCATTATAGGCTTATTGAAACCTAATTAGAAAAAACCCAAGTATCATCTTTTGATAAGATGTACTTTTAGAGAAAAGCGATGTCCATATATGTGGACTTGTGGTCCGAACTTACAGAAAACACTTTTTTCTGACATAGAAAAAAAATATGACATAGACATTTTTTTTAGCTTGCTTTAACTATCAGAGAGTAAAATACATCATTTTTTCCCATTTTGGACAGTTAAAAATAGTGTTTGGGACATTTCATATGCTGCAAAACAGTTGCAGGATGACACTGTATGTCTGTAACAAAATCTAAAACATTCAAAGTATTTTAAATAGCCACTCGCGTTACGTTTTTTCCACAGTTCTGCCAGTGAGAGTAACTGAGCTCAAGAGCATCAAATGAAAAGCAAACAAGAAGCGTCATGAAGGGGTGGGGCATGTCAGTTACTAGAGAGCATTTTATTGGTCAGTAGTTTTGATGAGAAACTGAAATGTTGGAATGTTGATCCATTTAGGCGGAAGTAACAAACTATTCGTTTTTTATGTGAATTTTGTCACATTTTGTTTTTTTGTTTTGCTTTTTAGCACACAAGATTATAGATATCCTTAAGACTAACAAACTTATACTAACATCTAAAAAAATTATTTTAATTTCATGGGAAATTTAATGAATGAGCAGATGTAGAAAGTTTTTCCTTGCTAACCCACAGTGACGTCTGTATAGGTGACAAAGAGGCCTATAGTGTTGATAGAGCTCTGTCAACTGCTCTGCAAGACTGGATAAAAGAACTCAGCCTTCCTCTACAGCCTGGTAAGGACTGGAATGACTGGATTAGACTATAAATGGGACTTTTGTGTTTAATTATGCATTTTTAATAAATCATTGTATTTATTTACATTTATACCCTGCATTTAGGGTATTACATTTAAAGGGTTAGTTTACCCAAAAATGAAAAAAAAAAATCTTTATGAGTTTTTCTTCTGTTGAACACAAAAATATTGTGAAAAGATTCATATTCCATTGACTTCCATAGTAGGAAAAAATTGTATATAGAAGTCAATGGGTCCTATAGCAACCAGTATTTTTTAGAATTTATTCTTCTGTGCTTGACAGATTTCAGATGCAGCCCAAGTTTTTTTTTACTCAGACCATGGGTTTTTATTTTATTTTGTTTTATTTTATTTTATTTTATTTTATTTTATTTTATTTTATTTTATTTTATTTTATTTTATTTTATTTTATTTTATTTTATTTTTCAATTAACAACTATAATATAACTATAATACTTTCAATAACCAGCACTTATTTTTGAATTAATAAATTCATTGATTGATTTTATTTTGAAGTATCACTTCTTGTCTGATTACTGATTTCTGTTCACTGATTTCTAATCTCATCTTCTGTAGGACGTCAGCTGAGGCCAACAGACCTCAAGCCCTCAACACTCTCTGTTAAATCAAAGTCCTCCGATAGCTCAGACAATCAACATGGAGCCCAGCCCAAACGTCCCATAACCTCTTCCCAAAGCACAGGGGCTCTTTCTAGCGATGAAATCCCAGCAGACCCTGCTATAAGCCAGGATCTGAAAGCTGGGGAGAACCATGTCTGCAGGAGCTCCAGCCATGATAAGTCCTCTAGAAGGGGGCTGTGTTCTGGACGAGCTCCTCTCAGCGAGGCGCAGGTCCGACTGCTGGTTGGCTTGTATTACTTGCCACATGAACACGGGCCGCCCGCTCAAAACCTGCTGCTGGACCTCACGTGGCTCAAAGCCAACTGTCACTGTGTCAGTGTCAATGAAAATGGCAAGAAAGCCTCGCCACAGAAGGTGAACTAATGATTCATGACATTTTATGTGAAAGCTATTGAGACATTCTACCAGAAACGTACACTATCTGTTCCTGAATTAAAAACATAAATACAGTAAATAAATAAAAAAATTATCAAAAAAAAAAAAACTAAAATGGACTGATGGCTGATTTCTTTAAGTTGTTCTGTAAAAGAATATGTCATTCATCTGGTTCTCAGATTCTTTTTCTTTATTAAAAACACTTTACAAAAGTACAAATCCTGTCATTGTCCTTGTCTTTAGCCCAACTGAAACTACAGCTTTAATAGTTTTGTTACGCTAAAAGCTGTTATTTAGAAGAAAAAAAACTTCAGAAATTTAGAAATAAGTTGTTTTCATTCACATAAATGGATTAAAAATATCAAAATATAAATAAATTCTAAAAAAAATTTACATTGTCCCCATGTTTCTGTCAGTCCTGCCACATTTAAATAAAATTTAACATAAAATGTGTACAATACATCTTTAAGGCTATGACTCAAAGGAGGTGACATTATCTGATGGAGAAGCTGACAGTGATTAAGAATGCATTCTGTTATTGAACTGTTTGACTTTATGCTTGTTTTTGTATGATATTTGAGGAAGACAAGCATAAAGGTCAGGCCCTGTCACGTTTTGTAAAACATAAATAAAAATGTATGTTTCTGACAGAATGTTCATATTATTATTTGAGTACTGATTCAACATTAATGTGATATTTAATGTGATTGGAAAACTCAATCTAAAAATATAAAATAATTTTTATTATTACATATGGTATTGATGTACATAGGAATTTCAATTGGCAAAGGGATTCCAGAGGGCACCTTGATGTCAAAACAATGTAGAAAACGAAATAAATACACATTAAAAAATTATAAACTTTGACATAAATTTGAATTCTAACATTGGCATCAAAGAACAAAAATCAGTTACAGGACAGTCCTGTAATGATGCCAATTTTAAATGTCAAGTTGATGTCAATTCGATGTCTTTTTGGTATCAAGGTAGATTACATGCGTTTTAGAGATGCAAAATCCAGTGTAAATTTGTAATTAAAGCTTTCAGATGAATACAAATTCACTTATATTATTATTATTATTATACTTTGTGTCGCTATTTTAGTGGTCAAAAAGGCATATATGTGTGGATGTCAGTAGGGATTAGGTGTGTTAGGGCGATATTACAGTTTCACATCACACTACTTCACATTAAAATTTACACTGGTAGCAAAATTTGATGGGTAGCATGTTGCGTCATCAACATGTGCTACCTACTTTTTGAATGGGAGGTAGAACAATCTGACAAGGTATAGCAAATCGACAGAACATCGACACTTTGAGAGTCAAAAATCATACAGGCAAAACTAATTAATACCAGTAGCTTCTGGCAATTTAAGCCCCTGTAAACATGGTTTGGAACATTTTTCAAGGATGTAGATTATAGGTCTCAAACTGGATTCCTGGAAAGGCCGCAACTCTGCACAGTTTTTCTCCAACTCTAATCAAACACAGCTGATCCAACTAATCAAGGTGTTCAAGACTGCTAGAGACTATTAAGTAGGAGTGAGTTGGAGGTGGTTGGAGATAAACTATGCAGAGCTGCGGCCCTCCAGTAATTGAGTTTGAGACTACTCCTGTAGATTTGAACTAATAATATCATAATATCATCAATAATAATGGTCAGGTTCTGATTGTTTCACTTCATACGATCTCATTGCATCGTCATGAGCCACAATTTAACTTTACCTTATAAGTGTTTTTTACCTAAAAGACTTTATGAATGTATATTTAAGCTACAATTCACCTCTAATGTTTTACTGACATTGAAGTTCTAAATTTTAGATGGCCATGGAGCATTTAAATGTACAGCGAAGAATTAAATTCTTTGGTGAACTGTCCCTTAAATGTTTCTCTTGTCAGGTAGAGGAATGGAGGGCTCGTGCGGGCCATTTTCTGGCAGCGTGTGATGATGTGGCAATACTTCACAGTGCTGTTGTGAACAGCATCAATAGGGCTGTTCTCTATGACCTTTACCCTTATATCTGGGACCTGAGAAACACTCTGCTGGTGGCCAAAGCCTTTATCTGCTGGCTAGGTGAGAATCTTTTATTGATGTGATTTGTGTTTTGGATTTTTGAATGTAAACCACCATTTTAGTTTTGTCCTATCTGCTGACAGTAATATATTTTTCTCTCAGAGGGTCGTATACTGAGTGAAGGTTCTCCATTAGGATCCTGGAAGAACTGCTTTCACTGTGAGTGTCGACATGTACCTGTACACTGACAGCTGCATAATAATTTATGCTTAGTTTTCTCAAGTTGGGGTCAGTAATTGATAACAATTTTTTTGAAAAATAACTTCTTTAGATCTTTAGATGGATTCAGTTGATCAAAGTGACAAAATGTAATGTTACTAAGTATTTTAACCTTTTATTGGGCAAATATTTTCTATAAAAAATTAAGTTTTCATCATTCAAAATAGTCAGAATTGTTTCTTGAAATACAGAAATTCAAATGACATTTTCTAACATGTTATAAAAACTCTCTCAATATTTTCAGATTACAATTATATTTCACAATGTTCAGTCCCTCCAGGATTTTGCAGGGACTTTTTATATTTGTGTCCTAAAATATAATCTAATTAAGGAATTATTCGTTTCAATTCTTGTGTTTGGCTGTGAAAATAAACAAAAGTCTTGTAAACGGTTTTTGTTTTGGATCACAAGAAACCCGGGACTCGCAAAATCTCAGAGAGACTGAATATTTATTGTTTTACTGCATTTTTATATAAAACACAGCCTTGAGCAGAACAGACTTTGAAATGCATAAAAAATGTACCAACCCCAACATTTTGAACAATAATTTATGTTTAAAAATGCACTGTGGATGCATTAAAACATGCCACATCAGTTCTGGACACTCGTTCTGATGAGTCTTGAATGAACTGTTCACAGGGTGTGGAGCTTCCTCGGGGGCGGAGTTACATGGTGTAGAGGCAGAGCCATGGGTGTTTAAAGGGGGTCTATCTGGAGAGGTGCAGGTGGGAATGGCACAAATAATTCAGGCTCACTAATGAACTTGTTTGTTTATTGCCAGTCTTTTCCTGACTCGTTTTTTTTCTGTTTCTGGGATGTGAATCAGATGCTTCTGCCTGTGGGAACCAGCAGTGAGTTGTTCAGTCACCCTCCTCCTCTATTCCCCACCTCTCGACTCTACAACATACGACCATTCTTGCAAAAAGACAAGGTGACTCAGGCATATAAGTTAACCCAAGGACTAACCCTAACCGATTCTACATATATGACATAAATGACTTTTGTTGTTTTTTCCCCAACTCTAGGTGGAGCTGTATCGAATGGTGCATCAGCTGCATCAGAGGGGTAAAGGAGGTCAGGATGCTGCCTTCTGCCATCCAGACCTAATTGGAGACAGGTAAGACTTAGAGTGCTCTCAAGCATATTTCAGCCCCTGTGTAACAATTTATACATTTTAATTGTCTTTAAATGCCTCCATTTGAAATTGAATCTTCTGATTGCAGTCACTGATTTCTGATTTTATTTATTTAAATGTAAAAATTGTGTCTGTATAAACAAAAACATCTCGATTTGGAAATGAATCAGCAACCTAATAAACAATTAATACATTTCATTTGATACATATTTATTTTTAGCAAAACAATGACTCAAACATTGATTAAAATTAAAATTAAAAATGTAAACATACTAAGCATGATTGTTTTGTGGAAGAAAACATTAAACATTTAACTAATTAACATATTAATATTTCACAATTTTACTGTTTATACTGTATGATCAAATAAATGTAGCACATGTAAACTTGGCCACAATTTATAACAAGGATTAATTAATGAATGTGTTTACTTACATAAACAAAGAATCAACAATACTTAAACAGCATTTATAAATCATAGTTAACTTAATTTGAACACTTCAACAATTCATAACAATGTGTTAAATTAAATTTTATTTTAATATTCTACTTAAAAATTGTGCAAGTACTTAAAGTACTGACAGTGAATGACTATATGTTCAATTAACATAAACTTTTAAAAACCTTTAAGATATATATATTTTTATGTATGATTTACACTCATTGGATTAAGATCTGGTGACTGTGGAAATCATTTGAGTACAGTGAACTCATTGTCATGTTTAAGAAACCAGTCTGAGAGGATTTGCGCTTTATGACATGGCGCGTTATCCTGCTGGAAGTAGCCATCAGAAGATGGATACACTGTGGTCATAAAGAGATGGACATGGTCAGCAATAATACTCAGTTAGGTTGTGGCGTTCACACGATGCTCAATTGGTACTAATGGACCAAAAGTGTGCCAAGAAAATATCCCCCACACCTTTACACCACCACCAGCAGCCTGAACCGTCGATGCAAGAGAGGATGGATCCATACTTTCATGTTGTTAACACCAAATTCTGACCTTACCATCCGAATGTTGCAGCAGAAATCAAGACTCATCAGACCAGGCAACGTTTTTCCAATCTTCTATTGTCCAATTTTGGTGAGCCTGTGTGAATCGTAACCTCAGTTTTCTGTTCTTAGCTGACAGGAGTGGCTGCCAGTGCTGCTGTAGCCCATCTGCCTCAAGGTTGGACCTGTTGTGCAGAGTTGCTCTTCAGCATACCTCAGTTGTAACGAGTGGTTATTTGAGTTACTGTTGCCTTTCTCTCAGCTCAAACCAGTCTGGTCATTCTCCTCTGCCCTCTGGCATCAACAAGGCATTTGCACCCACAGAACTGTTGCTCACTGGATATTTTCTCTTTTTCACACAATTCTCTGTAAACTCTAGAGATGGTTGTGCGTGAAAATGCCAGTAGATCAGCATTTTCTGATATACTCAGACCAGCCCGTCTGGCACCAAAAATCATGCCACGTTCAAAGTCACTTAAATCACCTTTCTTCCCCATTCTGATGCTCAGTTTGAACCTACCTAATATTGTACCTAATAAAGTGGCCGTTGAGTGTATTTATACAGTTTTAAAAGATTCCATTGAGATACAGATGAAAAAACAACAAAATAATAATTATCTGAGCAAAATAAATACGCAAAAGCAATTTTTAGGAGTAGTGAAGGTAGTCAAGGACAAAATGTGCCAAATGTAATGCCTTTATTGGTCCTGAAAGATTGCTAAGGTATATGAGAGATATCAGGCTGTGTTTGTGTTTCAGGTGTTTGGGTGCGTCTCTGGCCTTGTGCCCGGAGTATAGCTTGGTGCTGGAGGATGAACTGGGGGTATGTGGGTGTGCTGTGGGCATTCTGGATGTCCGGTCCTTTGCCAAGCGATGTCAGGCCACCTGGCTACCTGCTATGAGGGACAAATATCCGTCACGACCCCATGGAGCCAGTGGACACAGTGTAACAAAGGTAAGGGTTATGACTAAACACAGCCACACTTGCACCAGTATTTCCTGCAGATCCTGAATATCCTGCAGTGTTTGCAGGATACCTTGATTTTTCAACTAAGTAAGGTTAGATTTGCCAGACCATTATACATTCAATGTATTGAGTAAGACATAAATGTCAGTGTATATTAAATGTGTCATTATTACTTTAAAACATTTTGTGTTTTTAAAACATGTTTAAAAGTGCAGTATGTAAGTTTGACACCCAGTGGTTGAACTAGGTATTGCACCTCTGAATCAAAACAAACGCAAGACAAGGTTGCCAGATTGTGAACAGAAGCGAGTGATTTAAACCGTGTTATAACTAAAAGCAACGGCACTCAATAAAAGGGATTTTTTCCTTATATATCTGACTTCAGCATTGTTTTTTAGATAACCAAGTATGTTATGTTGGCATGTTTCTTAAATATCTGCAAACATATTATTATATTTTTTTTGCTTTAGAAGAGTAAAAAACTTACAAACAGCACCTTTATGTGAAAATGGCATTTTCCCTCCAAACCACTAGGAGGCGATGCTGTATTTCCACGAAGAACAGGATTACCCAGACTCCTTGCTGTATCATTTTCCATCTCAGCTCAGGCTCGAGGCTCTTCCTGAGCTGGTGGACTGTAGCGTCAGTCGTAGCCTTCTGACAGCCCTGCTCACAGCACTTAAAGCTAACGGTATGCTAATCTGAGTGTAATTTGCTACCTTTTATTATAGCTGATATAGTGGTCTTGATAAAAGTGTTGTTTGTTTTCAGGTTCACAAGGTGTTTTCTGTGAGGTTCAGCCTACAGATGGATTGCGGATCGAATTTCTGACAAAGCTGGGGTTTCTGGAAATCCTCCGTGGAGAAGCACGACCAAGAGAAGGGGTAGTTTTGGGGAGGCTGTTATAAGCAAATAGATAAAATATAAAAGATCTAAAGGGAAAAGAGTTAAAATATTTGAAGTCTGAGCTGTGGTTATAGTTAAGATAAAAATGGTTGGGTTTAAAAGTGCTTTAGTGAAGTGTTAAGGTCTATTCACAACTCTGAGGAGTAAAAAAATGGAGTAAATATTAAATAAATGAATAAAACAATGAATTCTGCATGCTGTAGAAGTCCATCTATTAACCCAATAATGAAGCTATCAGCATGGTCGAAGGTAAATGCGTATAAGCCTTTACTAGTGGTTTTGAAAATAATTCTATTTATTAGAATTTATTCACATTTGTTTTTCAGCTCCGGATTTATTCTGACTCCAATTTTAAGTGACCGTCAAATTTTTACTGTATTTCTTATTGTAAGAATGAATCACATTCATTGTTTATGATTCAATTTAGAGTTTTGATTTATATCTGATCACGTACTATTCAGTTCTACGTTCATTAGGAACCAAACGCTGTTTAGAGTTCTATGCCACAAGATTGCGTTTCTTTTTACGGACATTGTCTTGACATTCCAAAGTTAGTCAGAGTATGCAGGGTTAACTAATACCTTAATACTAGGGGTGTGACGAGACACAGGATTGGGTTCACGAGAACGAGACAAGATTTTTACCCTATTTTTAAGAAATCTTCAATAATGAAATATATGAATGGAAAATAGTCTTTTATTCAACTAAAGAAAAAAAATCACAAAATACAAAACTAATTTGGTGCTTTAAAAAGAAAAGAAAAAAATCTTTTTTTAAAATCAACCAGTTATGAATGTTATTTAACTTATATTTTAATGAATTCTATGCAGTACAGGACATGCAAACACTTCTAAATATTTAGGTAAAACTCTACTGACTGGCTTCTCCTCTGTTGCAATTTCACATGAAAATTCAAACTCTTTTCCACAAATTAAGTAAAGTTTATTTCTAAACTAATTTCGAGAGGATCACATGCTTAAGATTGTTTCCAGCCGGTCCCGCATTATTCAATTTATGATTCACCAATCAGACGATTTCTAAGCATTATTAATACCCTAAGGTCCACAGGACAGCCATCTTCGTTTTAAAGAATCCCCCCCTTCCACCCTTACTCCTTCTATTGTCCAAGATGTGTGGCACGGTGGCCTTGTGGTTCATAATGTTACTTCACAGCAAAAACGTCACTGGTTCTAGTCTTTACCAAGCCAGCTGACGTTTCTGTGCGGAGTTTATATGTTCTTCCCGTGCTCACATGGGTTTCCCCCGGGTATCCAGGTTTCCTCCCACCGTCCAAAAACATGCAACTTAAGTTAATTGACTAATCCAAATCAGCACCATAGACATGCTCCTAGTAAGTACTTATTTCTTAAGAGCAATCACTATCTGTTAATTAGCTACTACAGCAGGGGCGTTCTCAAGATCTACCTGAGGTCAAACTCCCCTCTCGCCTTGCAAACGGGATATAAAGTGCTATTGACCTTATTCTAAAATGCGGAAGTGTGCCTGTTTTCGCGATTGTCTTAGAACTTCCGATTCAGTCGCCTACGGGAGAAATGACTAGGAATAATAAACGGCAGAAAATGGCCAAACTACTTGCTCTACAAACAAATGTTTGCATGACTACACAGACCAAGTAGCATAATATAATAAGAAAATATTAAATTGCAACATCAAGCAGCGTAACGAGCAGTTGTTAACGTCAAAAAATGAATGGAAGTGAATGTGACCGGAAGTCGCGAGACAAAAAGATTCAAATGGCAGCGCCCACTCGTCAGCGGAGAATAAGGTGAATAGCCCTTTGTATCCATTTATAAATCTCCTCGTCCACCACCAGTGGGCAGCATCCACCTGGATGACGTGACAGCAGTCATATTGCACCAGACTGCACACCACACACTAGCTGATTGGTTGGAGAGGAGACGGAGTAATGAAGCCAATTATAATATGGGGATGGTTAGGAGGCCAGTGGGCAAATTAGGCCAGGATGCCGGGGTTAAACCCCGTACACTTTTTCTAAGGATATCCTGGGATTTTTAACGACCACAGAGAGTCAGGACCTCGGTTTAACGTCTCATCTGAAAGATGGAACACTGACTCGATAGGTGCAAAGAATAGTATCAAACAGCTGTGTGTGTACGACTTTTTGCAAAATGCGGCTAAAAGTCCTACACGACGTCAATAGTTTGATTATGGTGTTTACATGTTTGTACTGCACTTGACTTCTAAAAAACTCTAAATTGAATCATAAACGATGAATGCGATCCATTCTTACATTTAGAAGTACAGTTTAAATTTGACGGTCACTTATAATTGGAGTCAGATTAAATTCAGAGCTGAAAAACAAATATAAATAAATTCTAATAATCAACAGAATTCTTTTCAAAAGCACTAGCAAGGGCTCACATGCATTTAACATTCGACCTTGCTGTCAGTTTTGTCATTGGGCTAATCCGCTTGTTAAATGGTGATGTGTTAGTGACGTATGTAATACAGTTTCCGGGTCCAAGCCGCCACTCATTTGAATTGACAAAATTCTCGTTTATGACCACTTTTATTCCTATCACACATTATAGGGATTTTTATATCAAGTCATAGTGTACACAACAATCTCTGGGCTTGCTGCATCACAAATACCAAAATTTTAACAACTTATTAAAAATGTATCACTTTCTGACCATCGGATATTAGGCATGGATATATATATATATTGCGATTGTGATTTTCAAAAGTATTACAGCACTTTGTAAACGTTTATTATTACCATTTGATGGGTCTCCCCATTCAGTTTCATAGAGCGATTGGACCCGGAAGCCCCTTCGCATGACATCACGCATAGATGGACTTTTACAATGCCATAATCAACTCCAATATCAGACCAAAAAAATTAACTTTTAATTTTTTTTGTACTTTTTGGATGCATTTTCTTTTAAAAGTAAAAAATACCATTGTCAGGAGAAAAAAGATTTAACAAAACAAGCGATGTATTGGACAAAAGAGCAGGATTTAAAAAATTTAACTGACAGATGTCATGGGATTATCATATTTAACATCTTTTTTGTGAATGTTTACTAATATCCTGGCATTCGTTTACATTGTATTTGGTGTGAACAGGCCTTTAGGCTTCATGGTCAAAGCTGGAAACAAGATAAATCATTAGGGATGAAATGAGAACTTAATAGTGATCACCTTTTTACAGCTTCATCCTCGCTAATCAGCATTCTGTTTGCTTTCTCGCTGCATCTAAAGCTTTCCTACTGGCTCTGCTTTTGGGAATAGAAAAACTTGTGCTGTTTTACTGATAGTGTCTGTGTTGCAGCTGTGGATGGCTGTAGGAGCAAAAAGCACAACGTTACACCTTTTTTATTCAACACGCACACACTATTCCCTTAAAGCCATTTATGGACAGGCACACAAAGCAGACCCTTGAAGACTTGTAATAGTTCCTCCAGTGCACTGAAGGGCCTTGACCCCCACTGCTACAAGACTGATGAATCACAGTGCGTCTCACTGGGCTTTTTATAGCTCTTCCGTTGAATGAAAGCACACACACACTCTGAGAGGCAAAATTATCGTTAGCTTTTGACTTCTCTTTTTGTCCTTTCATAAACACACACACAGAGACATTGTATGCACGTCTGCCTTCTGGTCTTTAACCAACAGACTTCTTTATTCGCCATGGCAATCAGAAAAGAAACATAATAATTAATACTGCTTTTTTAGCACCGTTGATTTTAATATCTTTTCATTTTTTGTTGTTGTTTCTGATCTTTTCTGCTTTTAATCTAACTTTACTTGTGGAACACTTTTGATTTTGCATGTTAACTTTTAGGTCATCCACTTCATATGCTTTTGTGAGCACTTTCACTATTTCTGCAGGAGTTCATGTTGGAATTGTGATGTGCACTGGAAGGTATCAGCTTAGGTAGGTGAAATTTCATGTTTGCATTTAATGTTTTTAAGGATTATGGTACAGTGCAAATGCAGTTTTTGTAACAATGGAATAAAACATGTTTACAGCATCATTCAAATCTTTCTTGCAAAATGTCATTTTTTAATGTGTTTTTATGTCTTTGTGTTTATATACACAATTCTACACTCACCACCACTTTATTAGGGACACCTATTCAACTGCTTGTTAATTCACATTTCTAATCAGCCAATCACATGTCAACAACTCAATGCGTTTCGGCATGTAGACATGGTCTAGAGGATCTGCTGTAGTTCAAACCGAGCATTAGAATGAGGAAGAAAGGGTATTTAAGAGACTTTGAACATGGTTGATGGTGCCAGATGGGCTGGTCTGAGTATTTCAGAAACTGCTGATCTACTGGCATTTTCGCGCACAACCATTTCTAGGGTTTACATAGAATGGTCTAAAAAAGAGAAAATATCCAGTAAGTGGCAATTCTGTGGGTGCAAATGCCTTGTTGATGCCAGAGTTCAGAGGAGAATGGCCAGACTGGTTCCAGCTGATAGAAAGGCAACAGTAACTCAAATAGCTACTCGCTACAACCGAGGTATGCAGTTGAGCATTTCTGAACGCACAACATGTCAAAGCTTAAGGGAGATTGGCTACAGCAGCAGAAGACCACACTGGCAGCCACTCCTGTCAGCTAAGAACAGGAAACTGAGGCTGAAATTCACACAGGCTCACCAAAATTGGACAATAGAAGATTGGAAAAACGTTGCCTGTTCTGATGAGTCTGGATATCTGCTGCTACATTCAAATGGTAGGGTCAGAATTTGGCGTCAACAACATAAAAGCATGGATCCGTCCTGTCTTGTATCGACGGTTCAGGCTGCTGGTGGTGGTGTAAAGGTGTGGAGGATATTTTCTTGGCACACTTTGGCCCCATTAGTACCAGTTGAGCATCGTGTCAACACCACAGCCTACCAGAGTATTGTTCCTGACCATGTCCATCATTTTATGACTACACTGTAACCATCTTCTGATGGCTGTTTCCACCAGGAAAATGCACCATGTCATAAAGCGTGAATAATCTCAGACTGGTTTCTTTAACATGACAATGAGTTCACTTTACTCAGCTGGCCTCCACAGTCACCAGATCTCAATCCAATAGAGCACCATTGGGATGGGGTGGAATGGGTGACATCATAAATGTGTAGCCGACAAATCAGCAGCAACTGCGTGATGCTATCATTTCAATATGGACCAAAATCTCTGAGAAATACTTTTAGTACCTTGTTAAATCTATGCCACGAAAGATAAAGGCAGCTCTGTAGGCAAAAGTGGGTTCAACTCGTTACCAGTAAGGCGTACCTAATAAAGTGGCCGGTGAGTGTATATATATCCAGAGACACATGGTTCATTTACATAATACAATATTTTATATATGTATACAAAAGCAATTTAAAGTTTTTTTTTTATAGTTTCTACGTTTTTTACATTTACAATTCCCAAAATGTTATTCTGTTATAAGACAGCAGATTATTCTTTTAATTTTAATTAACTTTATTTGAAATTTACTAATATTTATGAAAATACAATTCATTTATACGTTTATAACAACAACATGGTTAGCATGATTTTGTTTTAGAGAATATAAAATTGGACAAAAGGACAGAACTTAAATGCATTTTCAGTATTCTTATTACAACATTTAAAAAAACATTTATTTGAAATAGAAATCTTTTGTAACACAATAAAAGCCATTTTTGTTACTTTACTTGATCAATTAAATTCACACTTGCTGAATAAAAGCATTTTATATGTTAAAAAAGCTATGTGCGTTCACAGTTGGGTACTGTTATATTATAAATAATACATACATATGTAAACACTATACATCAGCTGTAGTTGTATTGGTTGCAGACCATTCCTTATGTGAGCGCAAGTTCATCTCAGGTGAGGTTACTTTTCCAGTGGGGATTCTGTGTTCTTTGAGGTTTTTGCCTGTCAGCAACAGTACCAGAGTGCCAATCAGAGTAGCAGCCCAACTGCTTGCTGGGAGACCCACCTGTCCAAGAGGGGAGAAAGAGACAAACACCAGCTGAATGCAGAGCTCAAACCCAGAGGGTGAGCAGGACAGACTGTTTATAGGTGTGTATTTGTCTACTCACAGCTCCTAACAGGTTGCTCAGGGCAATGTCTGTGTAAGCTGAAAGCAAGGCTGCAGAAAGAATGAATAATTTAGTTGCAAGTAAGCAATGAAGTAATGCTACAAAGGAGGGGATGGTGGATTACTCACCACTTGCAACAGATAAGAGAAGTGTTCTCCAACTAAATATAAAAAACGCCCCAACGCCCATGCAGCCCAGAGCCCCATTGAAGCCTGATAGACCAGAATACAGAAATCCGTGCTGTACTGACATAGACAGACCTGCAGGGGGAAACGAAGAGCACTTGACTTCATACAGTTGTTGACTCATATGGTTGTTTATGATGAGTTGTCGTTTTTCTAGTCAGGAAGATTGCCTGCATTCTGGCCAACAACTGCTCACGTTGACAGGTTTGTTTTTATTTATGTGTCGTTGTTGGACTTTTTTCTTAAAAGGGGAAAAAACAGCCATGACTACCACAAAGCAAGATAAACTTGCCTCAGGCTGAAAAAGTAACGTAACGTTACTCTTTCGAAATGTAAATATACTAAAAATAAAACATTTTTTGTTGATGTTGTATAAACATGACAACCACAAATTATTATCATTTTGCTAAAACTACTAACCATAGTTTCACACTTTTAGACTATTTACACATAGTTTTTACAATATTTAATGGTTATTTTTTCGTAAAGGTGGGCAAGAGAGAGAGAGCTTAATTAGTAATTAGTAACAAATGTTTAGTTATATTAGTATACTAGTATTTCTCTAGTGGCTTTGGTGCATTTCTTACAACACTATTTACATTTACACAACAGTTAATGCATTTCTCAAAATAGTCATTTGTGCACATTATAGTAGCAGTTTCTCAATTCTTTCAACAAATTGCAGATGCTTTTGTACATGCATCAATTGCTTTTATACAACTCTGCTGTTTTCTAACATCATTTGCTTATGTCATGTCAGTCAAAATGAACTAAACTTGTTAATGCTTAATAGTCATTCCATATAAAACTAATAGTTCTCATTTCATTACTTGAGAGTAATTACTTACTAAAATGTTAAACTATTGACAACTAGTTAAACTTTTTTGTAAGTAATTACTAATCTGTCAAGCTAATTATATATATATATATATATATATATATATATATATAAAACATTTAAATATTTTGTTCCTCAAAATTTCTTCTAAATTGAACAATTTCATGAATGATTTACAGATATGTTGTAGGTTAAATTCCGATATGTACAGTTGTGCACAGCTCTACCCAAAGGAAGTTTATGTTTGTTGTAAATAAGGGTGTTTTTATTCTTTTGCACAATGCTGTGAATAAATTGGAATTGTAAAAAGCAAATGCAGTAAAAATGTGAACCATACATATTCAGTGTCTTGTACTCAGATACCTCACTAAATGCAGTGATGTCTAACTTTGCTGTAGTTTTCAAATGTCTGTGCAAACAGTATATAGTGCTGTCTTAAACATTTTCATGAAGTGTCACCAAAATCTGACTTTATTGCATTGGAAAAGACAGAATAAATTGTCATAATGAAAACATGGCAAAGCCATTTGACTGTCTTGTTCATTAACAATGGTCTCTGGACTTTTCATCCTGATGACACTGACGGAGTGACACTGTGTGGAGTCTGTATGTTCTCCTCATTTTCGCGTGTGTTTCCTCGGGGTGCTCCGGTTTCCCCCACAGTCCCAAAGACATGCGGTACAGGTGAACTGGGTAGGCTAAATTGTCCGTAGTGTATGAGTGTGTGTGGATGTTTCCCAGAGATGGGTTGCGGCTGGAAGGGCATCCACTGTGTAAAAAACATGCTGAATAAGTTGGCGGTTCATTCCGCTGTGGCGACCACGGATTAATAAAGGGACTAAGCCGAGAAGGAAATGAATGAATGAATGAGTATTACATATAAAGTATTTATTACACCTTCCCAAAACAAAGCTTATAAAAATAACTAATTATTTTAATTATTAATTATTGCAACAACTAATTAACCACGGCATTCCTCAACTAACAATAGTTTATCCATTGTAGGAAAACATATTATAAAAAATAAATTCACAAATAAAATAAAGTAAATAAATTAATTATATGGTAATATAATTAAACCATGGTTAATTTTCATAATGGCAGTTACATTTGTACGAATGGATGGTAATTAAATGAGTTTTTCAAAAAGTATTTTCAAATAAAAGAATTGCTAAGATTATTAATGTCACATCTCCATTTAAACATTAATGAAACCTATAATAACAAATTAATCTAAACAATAATTGATTTGTCAGCCATCATAATATTTATATATTTTACATTCGTGTAGCCGGCTCTATTAGCAACCTGCAGAAAATCCTACAGACACAGCCAAATTCAGCAACAGAATGCTGCAAGGAGAACATATGTTTGTCCTGGAATCGATTGGCATTTTAGCATTTCTATCATCCTGAAGTTTTGTGAAATGGGTTTTGGATAAATGCTTAAAATAATGTTTTTGACTCATTCACACCAAGTATGATAACAAAGAGTTTGTTCAAAAGAATTTTCTAATATGCATTCATTTCCTTTTTGGCTTAGTCCCTTTATTATTCTGGGATCGCCACAGCGAAATGAACTGCCAACTTATCCAGCATATAATTTACGCAGCGGATGCCCTTCCATCTGCAACCCATCACTGGAAAACATCCGTACACTCTTATTCACACTCATACAATTTAGCTCACTCATACAATTTAGCTTACTACTACACTACAGACCATTTAGCTTACCCAATTCACCTAAACCACATCTTTGGACTGTGGGGCAAACCCACGCAAAACACAAACTCCACACAGAAATGGCAACTGACCCAGCCAAGGCTCGAACCAGGGCCCTTCTTGCTGTGAGGCGATTGTGCTACCCCCTGCGCCACCATGTTCCCCTGAATTTCCTAATTTATGAAACAATATTAGAGTCCATATAACACAACTATGATGATAAGAAAGACTGGCAAACTATTTTTTAGCTGGTGAATGATAAAAACACTGACAGCAGAATTCTTTCATAGTTTTATTTTTTCTCTGGTAAGTGATCATTCTGTAAATATTATTAGCATCACATTACATGAGCCAAGGCTATGAGATGAATGGAAAAGATACAGGATTGGCTATTCCTCCATAATTGCACATGCAAAGAAGAAACAGATTTTACATATCACAGAAATAGTAAGGCTAGCATGCTTTTTTGAGCAACTCTAAAATCCATGTTGCGTTGATAGCAAGTAACCCATTAGTTTGACATGTATGTTAATATTATTACTGCATATAGGAGGTATTATATATCTGGTATGATGTAATTTCTCCTTTGGATTGGTTTAATTGGACGTTTTACTAGGGAATTTAGAGAATAATATTTGCTGTCTGGGATTTTAATTGTAGCCCTGATTGTGGTCTGTAGGTGGCAGTGTATATTCATTACTGTTTAGTCTATAGTTGCTGCCCCTAGGTTCCTGTCCAAGCTTTCAGACCTCACCATCCGCCCACCATTCCCTAGAGCTTTCTTTTATTTCTCTCCCTAATGCTCTCTCTCTCTTTCCTTTCTTATGCATTTCCTTCACAGCTAGAAGCTATTTGATAAACATGCCTCTTGAGAGTTCTTATTTACGGTTTCTCATATTCTACGTTTTGCTTAAGCAAGCAAGGCTTAGGAAGATACAGTTATATTACTCAGCAATGCTGTTTGTAAATATAAATGTACTTAAATTTGACCTAAGCAATTGTGGGGACCTTATGATAATCCATTATGATACTGTCTTTCTGCCAGAAGGCATCCATCCATCCATCCATCTATCTATCTATCTATCTATCTATCTATCTATCTATCTATCTATCTATCTATCTATCTATCTATCTGTCTGTCTGTCTGTCTGTCTGTCTGTCTGTCTGTCTGTCTGTCTGTCTGTCTGTCTGTCTGTCTGTCTGTCTGTCTGTCTGTCTGTCTGTCTGTCTGTCTGTCTGTCTGTCTGTCTGTCTGTCTGTCTGTCTACTAGCTATAGAATGATTCAGATGCCTGTAGATCTACTTTTAGTAGTAATGGTATAAAGGGAACCTATTATGCCCCTTTACACAAGATGTAAAATAAGTCTCTGATGTCTCCAGAGTGTGTATGTGAAGTATCAGCTCAAAATACCCCACAAATAATGTTTTCTAACTCTTTGAAGCTGCCCCTTTTATGCTTTGATCCTAAGAGGCCGACCATTTGCATTTCATTCATTCATTCTTTCATTCATTCATTGATTCTTTTTCTTGTCGGCTTAGTCCCATTATTAATCCGGGGTCACCACAGTGAAATGAACTGCCAACTTATCCAGCACATTTTTACGCAGCGGATGCCCTTCCAGCCGCAACCCATCTCTGGGAAAACGACCCTTAATGAACGGCTAAATACTGTGTGCCGCGGGTCCGTGTCTCACAGCTTGGCACTGGCAGGTCTGCCTTGCTTTCGGAAAGCACATGCACTGCAGTCATGAATAATTAAGAAGCCCGCTCTTCTCATAGGATAAGAAAATTCAGCTATAAATAATAATGAGAAACTGACGCGTCATCTTTGCACTTGCAGTTTTGCGCTACAGTACGTCACTGATTTTGATCTCGCCCCAAAACTCATTTTACACCCAGAACCTGAAATTAGCTGACAAATACTCAAAAATTTTTCCTACAATTAAAGCTAACAGGTGCTAACATTGTCGTAACTGATGCTCAACACACACTAATCTGTTAAAATCTCAAAAAAAGTACTCGAGGGTTTCGTAAACCTTAAAAGTTCTTGTTTTCTATATGAGAGGACAATAGCATTTTGATTAGCAGTGCCGAGACCTGCCTAAATTAGATGAATTTTTGATGTCCTGATAAGAAAAAATTGAAAATTCAAAGGATGTCCTAACTTTTTAATCTGCCTATATATTGGCTATTGGCTTACAAATGTTTCTACACTCTCAGAACTAAGGTTACAAGGGCTGTCACTTTTGCAGAATCTTTTCAAAAGATACATATTTGTACCTGAAGAGTCCATATTGGTGATTTAAAGGGAAATTTAGGTGCATTTGGGTATATGTACCTCTGACGTACCTTTTGAAAAGGTACTGCTCCAGTGACAGCTCTCGTACCTTTATTTCTAAGAGTGCACTGATTGGTTATAGATAAAAATTGATTATATGTAAAAAAAAAAATCAATTAAATTAAATTCATGTTTATTTCTATAGCGTGTTTACAATGTAGATTGTGTCAAAGCAGCT